GGGTTCCTTGGGGTAAGGTACAGGGACACTTGACATCTGTGCCACTCTTGACTGGCCACAACGGTAAACCCTAAACCGTAGACCCTAAACCCTAAACCCTAAACCCTAAACCCTAAACCCTAAACCCTAAACCCTAAACCCTAAACCCTAAACCCTTCGAACAGGAGTTTGCATGCATTGCAACCCGCCTCGACGAGCAAGCGCGCAGCGTGCCTCTTCGCAAGCCGAAGCCCCTCATTGCCGAAATCCACAAACCCTAAAACCCTCAAACCCTGAACCCCTAAAACCCTAAATACCCCTAAACCCCTAAAGCCCACAACCATAAATCCCTAATGAGATCCGTAAGTCCCTAGAAGATCAAAACCCAAAATCCCTGAAACCCTAAACCCCTTAATCCCTAACCCTAAACCCCTTAATCCCTAACCCTTAAACCCCTGAATCCCTAAACCACTGCACCCGCAAAACCCGTAAATCCTAAAAACCTAAATCCCTAACCCTAAACCCTCAACCCCTAAGCCCTTAAACCCCTAAATCCCTCCCAAACTCTTAAACCCCTAAACCAATAAACTCCTTCATCCCCAAAACCCTACACCCTAAACCCCTAAATCCCTAACCCCCTACAACCCTAGACCCCTAACCCCTAAAACCCTAAATCCCCAAACCCTTAAACCCCTAAATTCCTAACCCTAAACCCTACACCCCCTAAATCCCTAAAATTCCTGAAGCCCCTAACCTTAAGCCCTAAACCCTAAACCCTAAACCCTCAGCCCCTAAACCCTAAACCCCTAAATCCCGAAATAAACTCCCTGAAGCCCCAAACCCTAAACCCTAAACCCTAGACCCTAAACCCTAAGTAAATGCCGAATTCCCCACAATCCCGAAATAAACTCCCTGAAGCCCCTTACCCTAAACCCTGTAAACCCTAAACCCTAAAAAAGTTCCAAACCCCAAACCCCAAACCCTAAACCCTAAACCTGGGGTTTAGGGTTAGGGTTAAGGGTTAGGCCGCAGAATCCAAGGAGGTATGGGCGAGTACTTTTTCTTGGGACGCAAGGAGGGACCTTCTCAGGAATACTAGGGGGCTTTCTCGGCTTAGGGGTGTTCCGGACTGTAAGGTACATCTGTTTGGGTTAGTCAGGGGAGTGGGACTTAGCATCTCTCGGTGTCTTTTTACCTAAAACCTTGAGACCCTAAACCCTAAACCCTCCACACATATGCGCAAACCAGACACGGCACAGGCTCAAAACCTGAAACCCTCAAACTAGTAGGGCCTCGGGTTCAATACGATTGGCCTTTAGGGCTTTCACCTGTTTACGGAATACTGTCAGGTTCTAACCTGTAGAAGTAAACCCTAAACCCTAAACCCTAAGCCCTAAGCGCTAAACCCTAAACCCTAAACCCTAAACCCTAAACCCTAACCCTAAACCCTAAACCCTAAACCCCAAACCGGCGGCTTTAAGAAGGGGTTTCAACACGAGCCAAGTGCGGCACAGGACCCTAAACACTCAGCCCCTAAGCCGTTACTATTTACATTCCCTTATGGTCCCTAGGTAATTAGTCTATACAGAAAAGGACGCCGTGGAGGCCTTTGTTTTGTGGGTTCAAGAAAACATAGGTTTTCAGCAGCTTCATGGAGTATGCTTTCTATAAGAACCTCCAAACCCTATTCTAATTTTTCAGGCCCCCCATACTAGACCATAAGCCTTAGATCGGGATACCCCTGTAGTTGCACTTCTGTTTTCAAGCTGCATGTGGCCTGTCCGGTGCAAGTCCTCAGTCTCAAGCCATTTCAGGACATCTCCTCAAATCAGGGTACCCGTAGGTACTCATTTACATGCCATATCTCCTTACTTGGTCATAGTTGGGGAACATTTTACATTTTTAAGGGTACTTAAACCCAAGAAGGAATATATATTTAAATTTTTAATACGATCCCAATCATGAACTAGCTTAGCGACCCTGTTTGTCCGTCACAGATGCTCAGGAAGTGGTGCGCGATTTTCCCAGGCTTGTGCATGAGATGCTGCAGCAGAGGTTCCTAGACGAAGGCGGGTGCGGGCTCCATCATGGGCAGGGATGTAGGATACTATATCCCCCTTGCGATTTTTTGTTTATGTAAAACCCAAGAGGATATTTTAGAATATGATTTTTTATTGAGGTTCTAAGGGGAGTGTAGATGTAGGATTGGGTTGCTAACCCAGGGGCCTATTGAATTGGTATGGGTATCTTGGGCCATGGCAGCTGATGTTGCTGGTAAATAAGTGGTCTCCTGCATGAACCTCCTGAACCCCTGTAGATGCCTAAGCCCGGAACCCAAACCAGAAACGCATGAAACAAGTGGAGCCTTCAACAGTTGAGAGCTCAGGGTACACAGTGTTGACATAGAATCAGTGTCGTCATGGGTGCTGAGTAGGTGCCTCAAACTCAGAAGACCCCTCAAGATTTCATGTGTAGGTATATGTTGCAAGGGGTTTACGGTTTATGGTTTAGGGTTTGCCCGTTTGCCCTCCCCCCCCCCCGCACACACGCACGCACACACTTGTGAGCCCCACTTACAACCCACCAATGGATCACCTCGGAGGGTAAACCCTAAACCCTAAACCCTAAACCCTAAACCCTAAACCCTTGCAGGTTAAGGGTCTATATAATACGTTCGGGTTTAGGGTTTGGGGATGATTAGGGTTTAGGGGACTTAGGGTTTAGGGCCCCACAAAACCTCATAACCCTCTTCTCCCTTTCAACTTCCCTAAATTACCTCAAACCCTAAGCCGTGTACGCCCTTGAGCACAGCAGCACCTTATAACCCTCACACGCTTGCGTCCTAAGCCCCAAACCCTAAACCCTATACTAAGCTCTACACCCTAAACACTACACCCTGAAACCCCTCAACCCTAAACCCTAAACCCTAAACCCCCTTAGGCCCCCCTGAGCACAGGGCACCTTGAGCTCCTTCTCCTGGCCTTTGCGGCCACGCGGGGCTGGTCGGAAGACCTGTCGCAAGGGACGACCTCCAGGCGGGTTGTTTCAGGGTTTAGGGTTTAGGGTTTGGGGTTTAGGGTTTGGGGTTTAGGGTTTACGGATGCTAAGGGTCTTCAAGGGTCTTAAGGTTCTTAAGGGTTTTGGGATTTAGGTTTTCCCATAGCCTTAGGGCCTTAGAGAGGTTTAGTTTAGGGCTTAGAAATGTGTAAGGCGTAGGCTTTGGGGCTAGAGGGCGTTTCGGGTTGGGGACTTACAGGGTTTAGGCTATCTTGGGCCCTTGCTGAGCACACGCGAGCATCTCTGGCAGTCTTTTAGGAGCTATCTGTGAGGCTTTGAATTGTTTCCCTGAGAACTGGGTTGTGCTTTGGAAGGGGAGGCCTTCAGGGCTGTGAACCCTGAAATGTCGGGCAGCGGCTGTGAGCATTGGCGTTTATTTGCGCGTGTGCCAGGGATTTGGGGCCTCGTGATTAGTATATACCATGCACCGACTGAGTTGGGTTATTGGGCCATAATAAATATAGAGTTAAAGGCCCCCTTATTAGTATTCTCTTTACGTTCACTGCGCTCATTATAATATTCACGCGATCGCAGGCTCACTTGTAATATTATAATTCACTTCATTCACTTTATTATATTATTGTCCCGCGATTATAAGGACTTTTATTATTACGCGGGAACACTATGAACGAATTCACTAGCTAGGCTGGGGCTTCGCTGTTTGCAATTTTGGGGTCAGTCCTTCCTGTGTGCACACCCCACATCCTTGCTCGCAGGTTTCCCAACAGCGCCCCCGCTCAGAGGCTGCCTGCGTCGTAGGGTTTGGGATAAGATGCAAAGCTACTTCACAGACTCCCAAGCCCAAAATACTAAGATCCTAAGCACGTACCCCAAGGGGCTTGAGTTTTTTCGTGGCAACGTGCAGGGGCGCTTGCCGAAATACGGGTACCCTTTTTGGGGGGCTCCTAGAATTATGGCATTCTTTGTGTATAGGGGTTCCCCTATTTTGGGAAATTCCCAAATGTCCTGAAGTCCCAAAGTCCAGAGCATGGGCTCACTGTCGTTTAGGTGTTAGCTAGGATCAGGGTTTACTACTATTTGCTTAAGAACCAGTCAAAGAATGAACATGTTCTTCCTTCTTAGGGCAATATAGGGAATACTACTCTTCATTAACCCTAAACCCTAAGCCCTAAGCCGTTGGTTCTTAAGCAACTTGTAGTTGAGGGTTCAGGTTTTTAGGGGTTCAGACAGCCCTAAGCCTAGGAAGTATATAAGGGAGGTCCGGAGCAAGGAGCCCCCCGGTTTGAAAGCCCGAAACACCCTAAACCCTAAACCCTAAACCCTAAACCCTAAACCCTAAACCCCAAACCCCAAACCCTAAACCCTAATAAACCCTAAACCCTAAACCCTAGCCCTAAACCCTAAACCCTAAGAAGCTTCATGGGCCCTACTACATCTCTTCATCGCCCCTTGATGGATCCAAAGCCTCAGGTTTCCCTACTTTCCCTTACTAGGGTTTAGGGTTTAGGGTTTAGGGTTTAGGGTTTAGGGTTCGGGGTCTAGGGTTTACGGTTCAGGGTTCAGGGTTCAGGGTTCAGGTTTAGGTGTTCCGACTCCCCAACTCACACTTCTTGCCGCAAGAGTGGTCTGGAAAGGAAACTTCGGCTTTAGGGTTTAGGGTTCAGGCCCCTCTCCCGCAGTTTAGAGCAGTTGAGGGCTTTTTGAAGGGTTTTGGGGAAACTTTAGAGGTTGGGGTTCGGCTTCGTTGGTATGGCCCTTGTAAGGCAGACCCTACACGCCAAACGCCCTACAGCCCGAACGCCCTAAGCCCTAGCACCCTGAACCCTAAACCCCCGAACTCCCCAAAGTTTGGAAATCCCTAAGCCCTAAACCCTAAAACCCTAAAACCCTAAAACCCTAAAACCCTAAAACCCTAAAACCCTAAACCCCTAAACCCCTAAAACCCTAAACCCTAGACCCGAGAGCGCCCTGTCAGGCCACCGGCAGACAATCTCACTTGGGCGATGCGCGTGCGAAGGTCGGACCTCTAACTAGGTAGGCCCTTGGGATATTTTTTGTTTTTCCCTTGTTGGGTTTAAGAGGCTATTTAGGAATATTTTTCAGAGGGTTTTAAGGGCCATCTTAGGTCGGACCTTTAACTAGGTAAGGCCCTTGAGATATTTTGTATTTTCCCTTGTTGGGATTAAGAGGCTTATATTTAGGAATACTTTTCAGAGGGCTCTCAGGGCCATCCTAGTTAATATCCTAGTGAATAGAGGGGTCGGAAGAATTGCTCGTAGTATTCCTAGGGTTTAGGGTTTCGGGTTTAGGGTCGGAGTAATATACTCGTAGTATTCCGTCATGGTCCCTTTTTCCCTTATGGTCCCTTTAATTACACTATACTAACCCGGGCCTTGATTGTTTTGGGGGCTTTGCTAGAAGGTTTGGGTTTTTATAAGGGTCTTGTAGCTATAGGTGTCCTTTAAACCCTCAAACCCTTAGCCCTTTCTCCCCCAAAAGGCTCCATGTAGCAATGCCGCAAATGCCTACCTGATATGGACTTTAAACCGATGACCCTTGCGGATCATGCATGCTTTTGGGCGGAGGGCTGAGGGCTTAATGAAGAGTTAGGGGTGAGTTGGGGTTTCTTAGGGTGTAGGGTTTAGGGTTTATGGGTGTATGGGGTTTAGGGTTCAGCGCTAGAGTATAGGGTATAGGGTTTAGGGTACAGGGTTTAGGGTATAGGGTTTCGGCTCTACCTGGACCGGCACCGGCAATCTCTCACAGGATTCCCACACAGGCGCCACCCGCCAAGTCCTTCATGCCTAAGGTAGGGCTTATAGGGTTTAGGGTTTAGGGTTTAGGGTTAGGGTTTAGGGTTTAGGGTTTAGGGTCAGGGTTTAGGGCTTAGGGGGGGGGTGGGCGGCGGGGATCCCTTGGTGTTGCAACACTGCACTTCGCTCCGAATAGGGAGCCCCAAAGCTGCCCCTAAACCCCCCTAAGCCCTAAACCCTAAACCCAATAATTGTACCACGTAGCGTTTAAGGCTGAGGGTGTTCGCATTCGGGCTTAGTTCAGAAACCCCTAAGCAACCCTAAGGAACGCCCGTTGCGCCCTGACAAGACGACAGCACAGCTCCTGTTGGCTTCTTTTTGGGGCCTTCGCAGCCCATACTCCCCAGTCCTGTTGGGATGTGCCCCCTTCTTCTAACAGTCCTGAATAGGGATTCTAGTAACCCCCCCCCCCCCCCCCTATTATTATAATGCGCATTAAGGAATCCGTATTGCGTACTAAGGACTGTTCGGATAAAAGGGAACATCCCAACCTAAACCCCGAAATAGCCACGGACATGACAACCGGGAAGCGGAAGCCTCCGCAAAGGCATGCCTCCGCAAAGGCATCCAGTGCTGGAGCCGTGTGCGGAAGAAGATCCACGCATCGTGGCTAGCAAACATTGTCGACTTGGACGCGATTCGCATCATTACGACGACGAAGCACGCGCTCTACCAGCAGAGCTTGAGCGACTTGGTCGGGGAGCTTCTGCGGGAGGAGCTGAAGGAGGAAGAGGGATGAACTCAGCCAGGAAGAGATCGCCGCGCTTGACGGATCGGCGGAGCATTGGATGGAGCCGTGAGCCTGCCCCTAAACCCTAAACCCTAAAACCCTAAACCCTAGCCCTAAACCCTAAACCCTAAACCCCAAAGACCTGGGTTGACAAACAAACAAGCCTCCACAGCATCCTCTTCTGAAACCCTCATGCCCTCGGTCCCCGGAACCTTCTGTTGAGCTCCACACCCGGTTGTGGGTTTAGGGTTTAGGGCTAGGGTTTAGGGTTTAGGGTTTGGGGTCTAGGGTTTAGGGTTGAGGGTTGAGGGTTGAACCCTGAGTCAGCTCAGGTTTGTTTGTGGTGCCGTGCACCAAACCCTGGAGTGCCTGCACCGCCTGAATCCGGAAGCAGCCAGCCGATGGAATCAGTTCAGGCGCAGGGCTTTTTTGGGGTGGTTTAGGGTTTAGGGTTTAGGGTTTAGGGTTTAGGGTTTAGGGTTTAGGGTTTAGGGAGCAGAGTTTTTTTTTTTTTTTTTTTTGGGGGGGGGGGGGTTAGGGTTTACTAGTAGGCCCTTATTTAAGGTTCAGGGTTTTAGGGTGCTGGGTTCAGGGATCAGGGGTTTCGGCTGGGATGTTCCCCCTATACTAACAGTCCCTAATCAGATTATAGTACCCCCTATCATAATCCGTTTTAAGGACTGTTAGTATAAGGGGGAACATCCCAAAGCTCAGGGTTCAAGGGTTTAGGCTAGCTGGCCTGAGGTAGAGGATTAGATTTGATAGAGGCCCCAAAAAGGTCCTGAATTTAGATGAACCGGCCCTATTTCCGTGATAGAAGTGGAGAGCACTGTGTACAGGGTTCATGGTTTAGGGTTGCCCTAAACCCTAAGCATGGGATTTCCCTTTGCAGTAGTACAGTAGTCCCAGCTGGGTTTTTGGCTTGGCCTCAGCTTTGCCAAAAGCGATGCACAAATCGCGCTTCGCAAGGGTTGTCGCTCTGCGTTTCGAGGGAAATTCTGCTTGCACACACACGTCCCGAAAACGAAGCAGCACCCTAGACTCCTTTAGCGTAGTATATTGTTTTACCTAATAGGGAGAACTGGTGCTCACCCGAAAAAAGAACTGCATTGAGGTATTTGTAGAGGATGTTTAGGCAACCTACAACGCGAATGGGCTTTTTGTTGGGTTCTTAAGAAAAATCCACAAAAGTCCTACGAAGCTTTTGAGGGTGCGGGTGGTGGTCACAGAACCTTCGTTGAGCTTAGTAGGTTCATGGGGGGTTGGTAGAATGTCTTTCTCAAGCAGGTTCGCTTTCATCCGTGTTTCTCTCTCTCTCATTATATATATATATATATATATTTCTTTATTTATTTACTTATTTATTTACCTTTTAATTAATTAATTTATTTATATTTGTTTATGTAGATTGGGCATGAGTTGGCCAAGGACTGGTCGACAAGAAAACGATAGAGTCTCATGGAACTTGCAGAGGTAATTCTATCAACGTTCTGCCGGGCTGCCGGGCCAGTTCCATCAAACACCGAGGTAAGTTCCATTGAGCCTTAAACCCTAAACCCTACACCCTAAACCCCAAGCCCTGAACATTTCTTCCTCTTCAGATATGTGTCACATGGTCTGTCCCACCCCCAAAGTCGGGTTTTGGACTTTGTGACATAAACACAAAGCCGCATCGATTGTTCATTCATCCTTCATCTTACCAGAGACACACCCCTAAACCCTAAAACCCTAACATGTGTTAATCCATCTTTTGCTGAGCCCTCAGCCGCGAAGTAGCCCAAAAGTAGCTATCATTTACAGACTTTGGACCTCAGTGTAGGTCTTGTTGATATACTTGGAGCCGTAGGCTTAGACACCCTAAACCCTAAACCCTAAACCCTAAACCCTAAACCCTAAACCACCCCAAAATGTTTCGCGGCCCTTTGTCGAACCACTTGGGGGGTGCGTCCGGCCTTCAGCCCGGTAGTCCTCCACCTTCGGTTTTGTCACTTGGGATGTTTAGGGTTTAGGGTTTAGGGTTTAGGGTTTAGGGTTTAGGGTTTAGGGTTACGAACAACTCCTTATAGGGATTATAATAAGGGGGGGGGGGTACTCCAATCCCTATCATGGACTGTCAGAAAAACGGGCACATCCCAACTTTTCACCCTTACCTTCTGTTGGGGTCGGAAGAGTTACGAATAGTATTCCGTTAATGGCCCCTTTGTAATTATACTATAACAACCCCCAAAGCCCAATTCCTAGTTCCTGATCCCTCAACGAAAGGGGTTTAGGGTTTAGGGTAAAACAAGTCCGAGCCTCCTCCGCAGAATTGCCGAAGTCTGTGATGCGGATAGCGACATCTACGCCGAAGTGGACGTGCGGGCTTGGCCGTTGATCTGCGACCCTCGATCGCGTTTCAGCGTTTAGGATTTCGGGTGTTGGGTTCTTGGTTGGGATGGTGCTCGACGATCTGCCAAGTTGCGATTTAGGGGTTCAGGGCTTTCAGCTCTTAGAGTTAAAGCTGCGGTTTAGGGTTTAGGGTTTATAGGGTTTTTATAGGGTTTATAGGGTTTATAGGGCTTATAGGGTTTATAGGGTTTATAGGGCTTATAGGGTTTATAGGGCTTATAGGGTTTATAGGGCTTATAGGGTTTATAGGGATTATAGGGTTTATAGGGTTTATGGGGTTTAGGGTTTAGGGTCTACGGGGGGGAGGGGAAGGGGCGCAGGGCTGGTTGGGCTGATTGCTTCGGGTTTTGGTTCTTCCAAGCAGAAAACATCAGCCCCGAGTTCCCATAGCCCCAGAACCCTAACGGTCCCTCCTTTAGGTTTCCAATTTTGTGGGTGACCCCAAACCCTAAACCCTAAACCCCAAACCCCGAAACCCCAGCTCTTACCGTAAGAGCGCCAGACATTTCCAGCTAGGAGCTTCTCTCGCTACCATCTGAGAGGCTTGCTGGCGAGGCAGGGCATCCATTTCGCTAGACCTAAAGCCTCCAAAGTAGTACCTTCTAGGGTAACAAACATTCTCAGGTGGGCCCGTGAGATTCTTCATATATTTCCCTTATATTGCGGTTTCAGAAGGATCATAGTCAGGAATATGTTTTTTTTCTCAGAGGGTTTTTGAGGGCCATCCCAGGGTAACAAGAATTCTGAACTGACCCGGAAACGATATCCCCCTTGTTTTTTTTGTTTTTCCAAAACCCCAGAGGATATTCACAATAATGTTTTTATCAAGGTTCTAAGGGGAGTATAGTCTACCCTAAACCCTAAACCCTAAACCCTAAACCCTAAACCCTAAACCCTAAACCCTAAACCCTAAACCTAAACCCTAAACCCTAAACCCTAAATAAGTTTCTAAGGGGAGTATAAGAGAGAGGATCGACACGGGAATCATCTGGTAAGCCCCCTGGGCAAGCTGAATCTCCTCGCAGGCCAAAGCTGAATTCCGGGTTTAGGGTTATGGATTAGGGTTTAGGGTTCAGGGTTTGGGGTTTGGGGTTTAGGGATGTCTATCCAGTACCTGAAGTCGGATTGCATGTGCATGCGTTTCCCCCTCTTAAAGATACCTTGTCAGCCTTTTATGTGTCTTTACTGGGACCCAGAGTAGCCCATTGTTCCCTTGCTTTAGGGGATTCTTAGGGTTACCATTTTGGGTATTCTTAGGGTTTCTAGGAAGGTTCATGGTACTTATGAACCCCTAAACCCTAAACCCTAAACCCTAAACCCTAAACCCTAAACCCTAAACCCTAAACCCTAAACCCTAAACCCTAAACCCTAAACCCTAAACCCTAAACCCTAAACCCTGAACAAACTGTACTTATCGACCTTTCCGGTGGGCTCTCTGAACACTGTCAGGCCCTCTGCCGACAGATCCAGCTGCAGATGTGCACGCAGGGCCGGGTTCCGAGAGATGCCCAGTTAGGGTTTAGGGTTTAGGGTTTGGGGTTTGGGGTTTGGGGTTTACGGTTAGGGGCGCAGGGTTTAGGGTTTCGGATCAGTGAACATGTTAAGGTTTTCCTGGCCTGAATGGTGTGTGGTGTGTGGATTGGGGTTCAGGCGCTGACGATCTACGCACACCGACTTACCCTAAACCCCAAACCCTAACCCCTACACCCTAAACCTCAAACCCTAAACCCTAAACCCTAAAACCCAAGTTAAACCGCAGCAAACCACGGTGCCCCCAACGTGCACTGGGCCTCGTCGACTTGCTTTCCCCTTGTCTTCCTCGTTTCCTGCCTGTTTGCCCCTGAGCCCATGTAGGCAAAAGCAAGCAAAAAGGCTGGACAATGTTACATATATGTACAGAATAGATATATACAGTATCTATATATATATATATTCTACATATATACATGTATACATACATATAGATATATATATATATATATATATATATACATGTATACATATATATATATATATATAAGAGAAACCTTAGGCCTTAGACTCCCAGCAAAGTTTAACCTCGGACGGTGACCGGCCCGAGTGTCCCCCAAGACGGTGTCTCCAAGGCACGACGCGGCCGATGAAGTACCAGTGGCTCTACCAGGCCATTTGTGGGGGTTTAGGGTTTAGGGTTTAGGGTTTAGGGTTTAGGGTTTAGGGTTTAGGGTTTAGGGTTTAGGGTTTAGGGTTTAGGGGTATAAGGCGGGTACAATGAGGGGGCATAAGGGGGGCATAAAAGGGTCCCCCAGTTGGGGGGCACACACACCTTTGGGAGACCCTAGGACCCTCACCCTAAGAACTTGGGGTGTTCCTGGAGTTGGGGTATCACGGCACCCGCGTTCCGCGGAAGGGTTTAGGGTTTAGGGTTTGAGGTTTAATAAGGGGCCCTAGACCAAGCCCCCCAACCCTGAACCCTTAGGGTATCAACTCAAGATGCTGTAGAGCGGAGGTGCTTCGTGCATGTTGGCAGTCCCACCTAAGTGAATCCAGACGATACAGCATACAGCTAGCAGCCTTGATTCGCGGTGCCCTTTCGCCTTTAATTGGTTCCAGGTTTTTTTGGGGGGAATAAAAGTATAACCAATCCCAAAAAGCTTACCTTTTTTGTGACAAGCTTGCCGGGCTACCAAGAAGCCCCAAACTAGGCAACGCTAAACCCCAAACCCCAAACCCTAAACCCTAAACCCTAAACCCTAAACCCTGAACCCTGAACCCTAAACCCTAAACCCTAACCCCTAAACCCGAAACCCGAAACCCTAAGCCCCAAAACCCTAAACCCTAAACCCTAAAGGAAGGAATGCGCCTCCTTTGCAGCCAATGAGGCTGCGGATCTTCTTGGTAGGCTCCGACTTCAGGAGCAGTTTGACGAGGCCGCCCGAGGGTTGGGGTTTCGGGTTTGGGGGTTTTGCGTTCAGGGTTTAGGCTGCTTCGGCCATTGTCAGCAGAATTTCTTCACAGGGGCCCCAAGCCTCCCTAAACCCTAAACCCTAAACCCTAAACCCTAAACCCTAAACCCTAAACCCCCCTCCCACAAGCGGATTCTTGATGGTCACCTGGGGGCGGGGAGGCTTGGGGGCGGCCCTCTGGATTCTGGGTTCTTTGTGCAACACCCAACACCCTAAATCCTAAACCCTAAATCCTAAACCCTAAACCCTAAATCCTAAACCCTAAACCCGAATTCTAAACCCTAAACAGGGTTTAGGGTTCACTGCAAGCACTTTCACAGCCGCACGCCCAAACTCTCGACCGTGCTGTCCAGGTGGCCGCGATTGAAGAGCGGGAAGGAACGCAGATGGGAATCTACGCAACCTTCAACGCACCGCGGCCAGATTTGGTCAGCAATGAATGTGTTCACAGCGAACCCGTTACCTGTAAGACTCTAAACCATCAACGTAAACTAGGTGTTATAGGATGCGTACCTGCTTTCCTGATTCCTCATTCAGAAACAGTAAGGTTTTTAGCGCAGGTAGGGGCGTAGGTACTCCGAAAGCTCAGTTTATAGGCTACTATTTGCTTAAGAACCCCAAAAGAATGAAACAAATAATAGTCCCTGTATTACCCTTATAAGGAAGAATATGTTTTATTTGTTGGGGTGGGGGGGGGGGGGTTTTTAATTTAAAAAAAGCAAGTACTAGTAGGTTTTTGGGGTTCGTTCTTGTCCTTCTTTGGTTGGGTCCGGGTGAGCCGCGTAGGTTTGAAGGGTTGACGGGCTTGGAGAATTCGAGGTTCGAGGTTTCTTGGGCCCATTCCCTCAAAGAACGCCAAACATCCGAAGAACTCACAAAAAATGCTTCTATTTGTTTCAGAAGCCCCACCCCCCCCCCCCCCAAAAAAAAAAAAATAAAATTAATAATAATAATAAATTAAAAATAATAAAAACAATGAAAATATATATATATATATATATGTGTATATATATATATATATACGTAATTGAAGGAGTATTATGTATTGACCCCCCTAACAAGCCCTTTTTTTGGTGGCGTGATCTTAAGCAACTAGTAGAAAGTGCCCTCCACATGGGTTAGCGGTTGGGATGTTCCCCCTTATACTGACCCCCCCTTAACTAGGGATTCTAGCAGCCCCCTTTTATAATCCCCATTAAGGACTGTTAGTATAAACCCTAAACCCTAAACCCTAAAGGGGGAACACGTTAGCGGCTTCCATGCCCGGGGGCATTCCAGTGCCTTGCTTTTAAAAAAGCAAAGGACGTGTGGGTTCAGATGGCAGTTTGGGTAGATCTCCCTGCCTACGGAACTGTGGGGGGGGGGGGGGGTGCAGGCTTTGTCCTGAAATCGCCCTTTGTTCTAAACCCTAAACCCTAAACCCTAAATTCTTGAGGACAAGATGCTGTCCATCCACGAGCGCAGGGAAGTGCTGTACACGGTCCTCAAGGACGGGTTGGGAGGATTAGAAGCTGCTGAACCTTGTTTAGGGTTTAGGGTTTAGGGTTTAGGGTTTAGGGTTTAGGGTTTAGGGTTTAGGGGTACTTTCCACCTTACGCAAGGACCCTACAAAAGTAGCATCCTTATACAGGAGCTAGAGGAGCTCGGACCTCTTACTCAGCAAATTCAGCCAACAAATCCTTAGGTTTGTGCGTGAACTTATAGTTCCGCGGCTCAGAAATCCAAGCCTCTAAACACCTCTAAACCGCAAAACCCCGAAATTATTAGGGTTTAGGGTTTAGGGTTTCGGGTTTAGGGTTTAGGGCCCTGGGCTCCTGAAACCCCCCAAACCCCATACGATACGCAGCTTGGAACACCAGTAGTGGGTCTTCTTAAGTAAGCTTACAAGCCCTCCTGACATCGTATTGTCGTACAAGCAACATCATCACTTGGTAGCCCAGTGGTACCCTTTACCCTTTTCTTTTTTTTTTTTTTTTTTGGGGGGGGGGGGGGTTCTGGTTCCCTTATAAAATACCAACCCAAAAAAGGGTGCCCTTGTTATAGTATGGTTGCTGGGCTACTAAGATCACAAAGAAGGCAAACTCCCCGGAGACTCCAAAACCCCCTAATTAAGCAATATACCTTAAACTATAGTAGGAACCCTAATATGATTTAAGGTATATTCCTTAATTAAGGGGTTTTGGAGTCTCTGGGTCACTCCCCTGGCTTGTTGAGAATGAGGACGCGCCGCAGACTCTGATCAGGAAGGTCCTGTGCAGCCTTGATGAGGACAGGTGACTCAGGGACCCTAAACCCTAAACCCTAAACCCTAAGTGGGCGCTCGGAGGCATCCTCGTACAGGCTGCGCTGTAGCTCAGCGACCTCTGTGTGGCCGTAGTGACCTTGTCCGGGTAACATACATCTCAGGGTAGTTTAGGGTTTAGGGTTTAGGGTTTAGGGTCCATGGTCCCTGATTATGGTCCCGTACCTCCTTTAAGGGGTTCTGATGTATGGGCTCTTGGGTTGATTTCGCGTATTTAAGGGGTCTATCAGGGGTCCCCTTTTAAAGGCCCATACCAAGGGACTTTAGGAGTTAGGATTTAGGGGTTAGGGTTTAGGGTTTCGGGTTTAGGCCTAAGAATACAGGCCTGCCTGCAGTTACCCAAGGATCAAGTCATACTCCAAGCCCCTACACACAAACCACTCTAAACGAACTCCTAAAGCCCTTAATTCCCTACATCCCCAAATGCCTAAACCACCAAAGTCCCAAACCCCCCCCCCCCCCCCAAGACCCCTCAAAACCCTGAAGGCCGAATCCCGGACAACTGACATTTCAGGCGTGCTTGTACCTAGGAGCTCTTGAACTTACCCTAAGGCTCCATGTACCTAAATAGGGAATACTTGGGCCTTAAAGTACCTCCTATTTCGGGACTTTAGGGCGACGTGGCGAGTCATGCGCTCAGCACGAGCGATTGGAGGGGACATTGACACCCTGGTGCGCAAAGAACACTCGAAGCTGACAAAACAGGCTTGGACGAAGGGCTGCTTTGGGGCGGCAACCCTCTGTGCCCGAAAGATGAGTGGGCCGATTTGAAATCGATGGGCTTGAAGTCTCCTCCTTTCCACGTCGATGTCAAAGTTGGGCATTCGAAGCTTGCCCGACGCTAGCCCTAAGGTCAGAATCTCATAAGTACCCGGCCAGCTGAGTCACGGCTACTCATCGGCTGCCGATGAATCTACCTTGAGGGTTTGGCGTTTCCCTAACTCAAGGCTTAGGCCGCCCCCTTACAGTGGGGGCGCGGCGCCGAAGCCCTCGACTTGCGATGGCGCAAGCCGACCCAGGTCGTTCGCCGGCCTCCCACAGCTCGGAGGTCGGTAGCACTCACGATGGGCTTGTTTTTTGGGGAACTGCTGGGATGCTGCTGGGACTTTCCTGAGGTCTTGGGACCCCTGTCGGACCTTCTTTTGAAACCTAAGCCCTGCATCCCAACCTTCACAGCTTCAGCACCCTGTCACAGCAAGCCTTAAACCCTAGACCCGACGTGGGGGAGGGAAGGGGCTCGCCTTCGTGACGCACGTCAACGGCTTCACACCCCTGAGATCCTGAAACCTTAAACCCTTGGTAGCCCAGTGGCACCCTTGTGGTACCCTTTTGCTCTTAGGGTTTAGGGACGAGGGTTTAGGGTTTTGGGTTTTTTGGTCAAGGTTCCCTGAAAAAGTTTCCAATCCAAAAAAGGGTGCCCTTGTTATAGTATGGCTACCAAGACCTAAGGTGAAGGGGACCTTTGTCAAGGCCCAAGGCCGAAATCCCCAAACCCTACTCAACACCATTACGGAAACCTTTCCAGGTCCGAACCCCTCAAGAACCTTCAGGCGCCCTAAGCCCCAAATCTGAAACCCCGGCGTCGAGAAGTCCGCGACAAGCCCTAAGCAAACTACACCCTAAGCCCTATACCTTATACCCTAAACTAAACCCTAAACCCTAAACCACTAGACCTTCAACCCTAAACCAGGACATCGACGAGAATGAGCGAAAGGAAGACTACGAGCTCAGGACCTCGCTTCCCACCATCCCGGAAAGGTTTTTGGGTTTAGGGTTTAGGGTTTAGGGTTTAGGGTTTAGGGTTTAGGGTTTAGGGTTTAGGGTTGGGGGTTTAGGTTTCTGGGGTCTTAGGGTTTAGGGTTCCGAGGTTTAGGGTGTGGGGTTTAGGATTTAGGGTTCTGGGGTCTTAGGGTTTAGGGTACGGTGGGCGGGGGGGGGGGGGGGGGGGAGTGCATGTTCATGGGTAGTATTCACCCTAAACCCTAAACCCAAAACCCGAAACCCTAAATCCCAGTCTTCGGTTCAGGGTGAGGTTCAAAGGTTTACGTGAAGCTTCTCTTCAGGGGTAGTTTAAGTGAGGCCATCAACCCTGAACCTTAAATTAAACACCACACCCTAAACCCCAAACCCCAAACCCTACACCCTAAACCCCAAACCCTAAACCCCTAAACCCTACTTTTTATGACCATCCGTCAGGGACAGGTCGAAAGCCTTGAAAGTTGAGGAGATTTCGTGGCAGGCCTATATCCCCCCCTTTGGAATTATTGTTATTGTTTAGGGTTTAGGGGCTTAGGGTTTAGGGTTTAGGGTTTTTGTTTATATAAATCCCAAGAGGATATTAAACAGATTTTTTGTATTAAGGTTCCAAGGGGAGTATAGGAGCCACCTTCAACCAACACCTACAAGTGGTTTCCAGGGTCTAGGGTTTTAGGGTTCTAGGGTTCTAGGGTTTTAGGGTTCTAGGGTTCTAGGGTTTTAGGGTTTTAGGGTTTTAGGGTTTTAGGGCTTTAGGGTTGTAGGGTTTTAGGGTTTAGGATTTGGAGGTTTTAGGGTTTAGGGTTTGGAGGTTTCCGCATACGTGGGGGTACCTATTTTGGGGGGGTTGTCCCGCGGATGACTGTTTACGCGAAAACCAGACATTTCGGTCAAAGCAACTGGAGCTCGTAATTTCTGAACGCAAGACGACGTCCAAAGCCAGAGTCAGGATTGCACGTCTTTTCGGTCTATGGAGGAGGTCCCTGATTCTGGGGAAATGCCCAAGTTTCGAGGTTCAGAGCATCGACTCAGACGACTAATGTTGTGCGTGGCAAGCGCCACCCGAAACTATTACCTAGCCATCTCCCCCAAAACCAAACCCGAAAACCCTAAACCCTGAACCCGCCCTAAACCCTCAACCCCAAACCTTCGAAACCTTAGAAACCCTAAACCCTGCACCCTAAACCCTAAACCCTAAGAGCCCCCCCCCCCCCCCTGCTGTCTCGGCTACCAGGATGCTCCAAGACTTGTTGATTGATCTGGACCAGGATATTCGCCGATGTGACGCCTGACACAACCCTAAACCCTAAACCCTAAACCCTAAAGAACCCTGAACCCTGAACCCTAAGGGGGGGCCTTAGGGCTCACAGCCTCAGTTTTGGGTTTATCGGGTTTAGGGTTCTAGGGTTTAGGGTTCGGGGTTTCGGGCTCAGTGGGTTCATGGCGGTTGTGGCAAAGTGCCCTCAAGAGTTGTTGCAAGGTCGTGAGGCGCTGAGTCTCGATCCGGTTTTTGCTTCTACTGCGTTTCTCCGCCGGTTTCGGAGCTATTGTTACCGCTGTTCCGGTTGTTTGGGGGTCAGTCTCCCGGATTGCTCCCATATAACAGAAATTCAAGGGTATGGTACAACTTCCTTATATTCTCCTTTTGGAGGTTAAGGGGTATGGGTTTGGGGTAATTATGTTGAAGTATGCTTAGAATACAGCGAAGACCGTAAACCTGGACCAAGTTGACAGAATCAAAACATCATGATCCCCACGCCTTTTTGCTACACAGCCCTGTTTTGGGAACTGAATCTATTTTCTGTTCCTCAGCAAGAGCACGGAGGAAAAAAAGAAGACCCTAACTAAGCCACTCTACCTTAAACCCTAGACCCTTTGATGCTTTTCGCGTGGTGACCTCAGGGCAAGGCCTTCTTCCGGCTGAAGCGGACATGGTGCCCTGGCATGTTGAGGCTGAGGATTTGGGTTTAGGGTTTAGGGTTTAGGGTTTAGGGTTTAGGGTTTAGGGTTTCTAGTGTTTAAGGTTGAGGGTTCAGATTCAAAGGTCGGGGGGGAGGGGGGGGGGAGGGGGGGGGGGCGGATCCCTCCCGAAACCCTTTAACCCCCTTCGAAAAAGGCCTTAGCCCCTAAGCCAGCATGTTTTGCATTTCAGCCTCTGGAGAGTTTAGGGCAAAGCGTTTAGGGTTTCACAGGGTTAGGGTTCAGGAGTGTGAATCCTGCCCTCCCCCCCCCACCCCCAACCCCTCCGCGCTTCAGGGCTTGGGCAGGGTTTAGGGTTCAGGGTTTAGACTTTTGGGGGTTTGGGCCTCAAGGTTGCGAGTCTTGGGGTTGTGTGTGTGTGTGTGTGCGTGTGACTATGTGGCCCTTGATTTTGACGCGGCTGCATCCCAACAACAAACGCACCAGACCACTAAATCTATAATTACAAAAACCCCTCCTAAACCGTACATCCCTAGACCCCAAAGCCTAAATCCTACGAACCCCCACCCTCCAAGGGCAGGAGCCCACAAGAATCAATGAGACCACTTAAGGGTTTAGGGTTCAGGGTTTAGGGTTTGGGGTTTAGGGTTTAGGGTTTGGGGTTTAGGGTTTAGCTTGAATCCAAAAGTAAAGCCCCCCAACCCGACTAAACCCCACTGAGCCCCCGAAACCTACTCATCTTCAGTAAGCCCTAAGCCCCAAGCCCCAAGCCCCAAACCCTAACCCTAAACCCTAAACCCTAAACCCTAAACCCTAAACCCTAAACCCTAAACCCTAAACCCTAAACCCTAAACCCTAAACCCTAAACCCTAAACCCTAAACCCTAAACCCTAAACCCTAAACTCACGAATTCCCCCAGGATTTCTTCCTTGGACACCAAGCCATTGCCTGAGCTTGTTAGGGACTTGACGGCTTGGGCGGGCTTCGCTATAGGGGTTCAGGGTTTAGGGTGGGGTTTGGGGTTTGTGGTTTGGGGTTTGGGGCGTCTTGGGGTTTAGGGTTCAGGGTTCCGGGTTTCGGGTTTGTTTCCGCACCCTAAATCTTCTGGTGGGTGTTTCAGGATTTTTGACAGCAGTCTGTATCAGCTTCTTTCTTTGTTGGGGGGGGGGGGGGGGGGTTCCTTACCGTAGACTCTGAACTCGAAAACCCTACTCCCTAAAACCCTGAAGTCTACACCCGGGTAGACTCCAGACCCTAGAACACAATCCCTGAACCCTAAAACCCCAAACACTAAACCCTATACCCCTAAGCCTGTAGACCCTAAGCCCCCGACCTGTGAACTGAGACTAGGACCCGGTGTAGGCCCTTATTTCCTTTTTTTAGGGATGGGGGTTCCCTTATGATCCCCCTAAACCCTTTTTATTCCTAGATTCCTCTACACCCTAAACCTAAACCCTAAACCGCGCTTACTCCTGGGTCTAGGAGAGCCTTTTCGGCGCAGGACGGGCGTCATCGAAAACGAGGAGCTTACGCCGGCGCAGTTTTGTGACCACATCGAGGATTCTTGGGGTTTAGGGTTTAGGGTAGGGTTTAGGGTTTAGGGTTTCGGGTTCAGGGTTCAGGGTTTAGGGTTTAGGGTTCAGGGTTTAGGGTTTAGGGGGTTTAGGGTTTAGGGTTTAGGGATCATTCAAGGTTTTAGGGCATTAGGGGAAGCCAACTGTAATCCCTTCCCCCTAATATACCCCCACCCCCTCTTGCATAAAACAAAACCCCAAAACCTTTTAGGATTTGGGGGGTTCGCATCGTTTGTCCGTACAAACCGCCCATCCTTCAGACTCTGCCACGAGCCCAAACCCTAAACCCTAAACCCTAAACCCTAAACCCGAAACCCTAAACCCTAAACCCTAAACCCTAAACCGTTGAGTCTTCAGGGTTTCGGTCTTTCAGAGTCAGGGTTAGGGGGAACTGAAGAGTTCCGGCTTCAGGTTTCTGCTTCAGACCTCCCCCCGACCCACCCACCCCCTATTTCGGCAGAGGTCTTAAACGGGGCGGCTATGGGTTCGTGCTTTGGGGGCAGTGTTTTTGTGTTTAAATGTTATAGGGGGGTTCTTAATTTTAGCATAGCTGGAAGGGAATAAATCAGATGGTTTTGAGGCATCAGGGCGACGGAAGATGCGGACGGTCGGAGTTGAAGATGGATGCAAGCATGACAACTTGGGATGTTCCCCCTTATACTCACAGTCCTTAGTACGCATGATAGTAACCCCCCTACTATGCTCCTCATTAAGGACTGTTAGTATCAGGGGGAACAACCCAAAGGCTTGTGCAGGTTTTACAAGTTTATAGGGGCTCATGGGGTCGAGACTCCAAAGTCGCAGCATGTGGCACCAGGTGGGCTGGCTAGCCCTGGTGCTCGAAGAGTGGCGTTTAGGGTTTAGGGTTTAGGGTTTAGGGTTTCAGGGTTTAGGGTTTAGGGTGAGAAGCAGCACTCCACGCCGCTGAGTGCAGACATGGAAGACTTCATGTCACCGCTTTGCCAGCGCATTGGAACTTTTCTTCTTGCAGTATACTTCATACGTCGTGCCGGCACCAAGGTAGTGAAACCATGCCTCCCCCCATTTCGGTAGAGGTTTTAAACCGGGAGGCTCCGCGATCGGGTTTGGGGGCCAGTTTTTCATTTTTAGGGTTTAGGTTTGGGGTTTAGGGTTTAGGGCTGTTGTTTTTCGGGGTGTATTTATTTATTCGCGGGAAGGGGCTAGTTCTTAACGGGAACTACTGGCTGACCGACCCCAAAACGAACTGGATTGCAGTCTTCAGGTGTAGCTGTGCTGGGCTTGTTTTGGCCCTAAACCCTGTAAACCCTGAACCCTGAACCCAAAACTACCCACGAGCCCTGAAGTAAAGCCCAGAGCTCCGGGCATATCGGCTTTTGGGCCAGGGTTTAGGATTTATGGTTTAGGCTTCAAAGCCTCAGGGCTCAGGGTTTAGGGTTCAGGGTTTAGGGTGGTTTCGGGTTTAGGGGTTGGTTTGCAGGGTTTAAAGAGTTTAGGGTTTAGGGTTTAGGGTTTAGAGTTTTTTAGCCGAAGACCAAAAATCCCTCAGCCATAAGCCCTAAACCCTAAACACCCTGTGAGCCTGGGGATCGTCTGCCTTTCGCGCAAGGACGACCCGCAGTACGAGATCCTCTTGAGGCCGGGCGCCCGGAAGATGGGCGCTAACATGTAGTTTAGGGTTTAGGGTTTAGGGTTTAGGGTTTAGTGTTTAGGGTTTAGTGTTTAGGGTTTAGGGTTAGGGGCCTCGATAATTAGAGTAGTAGGGCTTTTGAGTTATTCTAGTCTAATTATAATCTGTCTTTCTTCCGGCAGCTATATTGGGGGATGAAGAGGTTTCGAGCTTTCTAGGGGAGGGTTCAGGAGGTTCAGGATTTGAGTAGAAGCCTGAGAAGGTTTAGAGGTTTCGGGGTTGGGTTTTTGGGGTTCTTTAGGGTCCTTAACGATTCAGAGCTCCCACACTCACCCCGCGCCACCCAAATAATCTCCGCATAAACCTTCACATGCACTAAAGAAGCCCTAAATGCCCCCTAAGCAATCCCTAAACCATTCCCAAGCCCCAAACAAACCCTAGCTAAGCTAAATCAACCCTAAATAAACTAAAGAAACCCAACAAAACCCTAAATACTCCCTAAGTAGCCCTCAGCCCTAAACCCCAAATAATCCCTAAACCCTGAATACTCCCTAAACTAAAGCCTAAACCCTAAATCCTTTATACTCCCTAAGTAACCCTAAACCCGAAATAATCCCTAAACCTTAACCCTAAACCCTATAAGCCCGAAATAATCCCTAAACCCTAAACCCTAAAAAATACCTAAACCCGACATCCCGCAGGGATGCGACCAATCGTCTGATAAAGCTGAATCGGACCTTCGAAGCGGCGAAGATGCTGGCCAGGCGAGGACTAAGGGTTTTTGTTGGGCCTTTTGTGTTTTTTTGTTTTGTTATTTTGGGTTTTTCTAGGGGGCCAGGAGAGGACTAAGTTTTTTTTTTTTTTTTTTAAGGGCTTTTTTGGGGTTTTTGTCAGGTGTTTTAGGCGTTTAGGGCGTTTAGGGCGTTTAGGCTTTTCAAGGTTTTTTGGGGCGTTTGTTTTTTTTTGTTCAGTTTGTTTTTTGTTTTATGGCTTTTAGGTTTTCTTTTTCAGCTTTTAGGGTTTGGGGGCTTTCAGGGTTGTGAGGGTTTTTAGGCCTTCTTAGGGTTTCTTACTTACCCCTTTAAAGGTTCTGACGTATGGGTCGTATGGGGTATACAAGGGGTATGTGAGGGATCTCTGTTTAAGGGCCCATACTAAGTCGCCATGTAACTAGGTCCAACTACCCTAAGGACTCAGGGTTTCGGGCTTGATGCGACCCGAGAACACGGTCGTGTGGGTTCCATTTGCATGATGCCTAACCCTAAACCCCGAACTCCCTGAACCCTAAAAACTCTAAAAGAAGCTAAAAACCCTAAAGCCCTAATTTGATCCCCCTGGACCCTAAACTCCCTCAACCCAAAACCCTAAACTCCCCAAACCCTAAACCCCACCTTGGCTTTCACAGCTCCAGAGGAAGCCTCTGAAACCATAAGCGCTCCGAACTCCCCAGTAAGGGCTTGGTTTAGGGTCAAGGGCTTAGGGTTGAGGGCTTGGCTCAGGGTGTAGGGTGTAGGGTTTAGGGTTTAGGGTTTAGGGTTTAGGGTTTAGGGTTTAGGGTTTAGGGTTTAGGGTTTAAAGTTTAGGGTTTAGGGCCTCCTGAACCTGTGAGCCTTAAAAGCTCTACAAGCCCCCAAGAGCCCTCCGAGCCCCTCGGATTCACCCTCGCAGGCCAAGGGCCCAAGAGTCGAAGGCCTGGAACAACATCAAAGAGAGCCAGGTCAGCGCCCAGGGTTTAGGGTTTAGGGTTTAGGGTTTAGGGTTTAGGGTTCAGGGTTCAGGGTTTAGGGTTTAGGGTTTAGGGTTTGGAGTAAACCCAGTGTTTGTATTCAGGCGGTTTAGTGTTTAGGGGGGCGTAGTGTTCGGAGTGAAGCGCAGTCCGGACCGAAACACACCCCTGGAGCCTTCTGTGGTGTGATGGACCACGGACCTTTTCCAGGACTCCCAAAGTAGCCCGAAAAGGTTGAGGAATTAGGATTTAGGGCTTCGGCTCTTGGTTTCAGGGGCTCTGGGGCTCAGGGACGTTTCCGGTTCAGCGATTCCAGCACCCAGACCGAGCTGATTCCCAGAGATTTTCCGGGGGCTCCGGACCCTGCCTGTGAGCCAAAACCCCAAACGCCAAACCCTAAACCTTCGGGCTTCGGAGACTTGCCATCCGCTTTCCCGCAATCAAGGAGTTGCTTGCTGGTTCCTGGGGTTAGTGGGGTTTAGGGTTGAGGGCGAGGGTTTAGGCTTTAGGGTCTAGGGGTTTAGGGCTTAGGGTAGGGAAATAAACCCTATAACCCCTAACCCCTAATCCCGAAAACCCTAATCCCTCCCTGAAAGGTGCTGTACATCCGGTCGCTGTACGAGGAGGATGTGACCGTCTAGGGTTCAAGGGCTTTAGGGTTCAGAGTTTATACAGGGTTTAGAAAGGGTTCATATATATATATATGTATATATACACAGTTTACATAGGGTTTATATAGGATTTACATAGGTTTGTTTTGTTTAATAGGGTTTAGGGTTTATATAGGGTTTTGGGGGTTCCCTTCAGCCTTTTCTTCCGTAGCTTTCGGTTTTTTCCCCACCCTCGGAATTCTCCTCGCCCGGTCTACTGATCCCTTGAGTGCCCGACCCCAAAGTGTCCCTGGAGTGCCCAACCCCAGACTTCCCCCCCGGAGTGCCCAGCCCCAGAGTCTCCCTGGAGTGCCCAACCTCAGAGTCTCTCTGGCGTGCAGAGTGTCCCTGGAGTGCCCAACCCCAGAGTATCTCTACCAAGAGAGGGTGGGGATGTTCCAAGTAAATAATTTATTCGGCTTTGGGGCTTGTTTAGGGTCTAGAGTTTAGGGTTTGGGGTTTGGGGTTTGGGGTTTTCGGCGTTAGAGGTCCGAGTCCCTCAATCGGAGATTCATGATACCTATGAACCTGTTATGTACTTGTAACCCACTTATAAGCCCCCTAAAAGTGCCCCAATATGGTTATAAGTACAGTTGTACGTACAGTCATCATCCTAAACCCTAAACCCTAAACCCTAAACCCTAAACCCTAAACCCTAAACTTGGTTAAGTTATCATTGGTTGGTGAGTACCATGAACCTCAGCTCCTTGCGTACCGCGGCTCTGCTGGGTGCCCAGTATCTACTTGGAGTACTATACTTTAATACTTTTTTGGTTCTGGGTCCCTATTCTAGCTACTTATACCTAAAACTTTTTTCAGGGTCTACTCCAAAGCTAAGACCCCCCACTGTTTCATTTCCTTGGTACCCCAGTGGTACCCTTTAGCCTTTTTTTTTGGTTCTGGATTCCCTTATAAAGTAGCCAACCAAAAAAAGGGTGCCCTTATTATAACATGGTTACTGGGCTACTAAGTTTCGTTGGCTGAACCCTTTTTTTTTCAGAGGGGAGTTTACGAAAGTAGGGGGCCCCTAAGATAGACCCCCACATGATAGGATTCGCCCCCACATGAGAGGATTCGCTTCTTACCCCCCTAAATTCGGACACTTAGCCCTAAACCCTAAACCCTAAACCCTAAACCCTCCCTAAACCCTTAGGTATAGGGTATTTTTTTGTGGTGGTTGCTCCTGCCCAAGCTCCGAGGCCGCCACAGCCTACACCCCTTGAGGTTTTCAAGTGTTTCCCTCTTGGGGATTTTGGGGGAGGTCACTCCGAGATCCGAAGTTTGAAGTCCCAAATCTACTATTTGCTTAAGAACCCCAGAATTTTTTTTTAAAAAGAGAATGCCTATATTACCCTTAATAGGGAAGAATGTTTTTTTATTTTTTCGGGGTTCTTAAGCAACTAGTAGAAATAAGGTCAGCTCTCGTAAACAAGGCCCCTTTGTTGGGATATTCTGCATGTCCCTTTCTACGGAATGTGCCCCAGAGAGGGCCCGAGACCCTAAACCCTAAACCCTAAACCCTAAACCCTAAACCTTAAACCCTAAACCCTAAACCCTAAACCCCAGAACTGAGCGCAAGGTACTTGAAGGTTCACGGCGAGCTCTTCGTAAGGCTAGAAGCAACCCCCCCGCTTCTCTAGCCCTACACCCTAAACCCTGTGCCCTATAACCCTCAGACCTAAACCCCCCTACACCCTACACCCTGCTTGCAACAACCCATGAAAACTCCAAGGAAGGCCCTGCGCCTACACCCTATGCCCTTTGCTGTAGCTGCAGTTCCTCTATTTAAAAACTACCCGCTAGGAGCTTCTTAAGGAAGAGGAGTTCAAGGGGGCTTGAGAAATTCCATGTTCTCTCATCCCGCCTTACGGGGTTTTAGGGTTTAGGGTTTAGGGTTTAGGGTTTAGGGTTTAGTGCTAGATCCTGCAGGAGAAGGAGCCAGAAGACCACTTTGGCCCTATGGAGCTCGGCTCCTTGCTGCTCCCTGGGGGCGAAGACGCCCGACCTCGCAAAGACTGATCTTCGAGGTGGGGCTTACATGGTAGGGTTCAGGTTTTAGGGTTTAGGGTTTACGTGATAGGGTTCAGGGTTTAGGGTTGAAGGGTTTGGGGTTTAGATGGGTTTAGGGTTTTGGGTTTAGGGTTTAGGGTAGTTTAGGGTTCATGGTTCCTATAACATGCATTCTAGCATGTCTGGATATCTTCAAGGGGGGGAGGGGGTAGTTCTCTGAATTAGGGTCCTGTTTTCGGGTCCTATACGGCACGCACAAAGAGGGACCCCGAAATCAACCCTCATCTTAGAATCTAGAGAACTACCCCCCCCCCCCCCCCATGGTTGTTTATATGGTGGTTTCCGAAATAGGGGGGTTGCGCTTTTAATTTTTTTTGGGGGGGGGGATTTCCGATGACAAGGATCATTATACGATCTTGGGGTATATAAAGGGGTACCCTGCCCTAGGGCTCCGAGACTCCCAGTATACAAACAAGACCTACATTGGTCTCTGAAGTCTGTACATAATACTTGCTTTGGGTTATCTGGAGCCTTAGGGCTATTTCCGGACTCGGGACGTGCCCGCATGACTGTTGTGGGTGACTGTGTGTATGGTTCCCTACAAGTATTGATGGATGTGGGGTGCCCCTTGTTGGAAGCCAAGACACCTTAAAGGCCCTAATTCCCCAAGGCCTGAAAGTCAAAAGCCTCAACCCGAAACCCTAAACCCTAAACACCCTAAACACCCCAAACCCCCTAAAGCCCCTAAACCCCCTAAACCCAAACCCTAAACCCTGCCAGCCGCAGCCCAGGAAGCTGTGCTGCGTGTGCCGAGCATGCAGCACATCGATGGGCAGGACGCCGAACCCATCCCTAAACCCTCAACCCTGAACCCTAAACCCTAAACCCTTGGGGGGTCAACAAGGTAGGGGCTTGGGGGATTTGGGGATTTAAGTGTAGAGCTTTATGGGGGTTGAGGGTCTGCAGGGTGGACCCTGGACCCTTCCTAGAACCCTGGACCCTAAACCCTAAACCCTAACCTAACCCCGTTTGTCTCATTTCACCCTGCGCCGCCGCCCTTGAGCTTCTGACCGCTTAGAGTTTCGGGCGCAGGGTTTAGTGTTTCACTTGAAGGTGGGGATTTAGGGTTTAGGGTTTCGGGCTTCGGGCCGTTAAAGTTTAAGAAGGGTGGCATGTATCCCCACGAAGCCAGGTGAACCCTTATAAGCCCTCAAACTGCTCTTGAGAAGGATTACGTCACCAACGATGCCCTGGCCACCCTGGAGAGTGAGCTGCTGAACGGACCGCCGGTGGCGGTTGGCGTGTGGTGGCTGTTCCTCTGCTCACATGCCCCCCTAAGCCCTAAACCCTACGCGAGTGAGTAAGAAGCCAGTTTGGTGACCTTGTCTGCAACATGTCGGCTTAGGTCTACAGAAGCCCAAGCCACAAGCAGCGTGTCGTTTTAAGAAATCATCATGTATAGTGTACAGTAGAAGCAAAGAAACCAGAAGTCACCTTCTTTGTTGTTTGTTGTGTTGTTCCTGCTTGGTGGAAGAGAGAGCCCTGCGTAACCCCGCTGTGGAGCTTCTTGCCCGCGCGAGCCCTAAACCCTAAACCCTAAACCCTAAACCCTAAACCCTAAACCCTAAACCCTAAACCCCCTTTAAAATATGCATCAGTCAGGGTTCACTTGGAAACCAAAAACCAAAAAGGCCTCATATAGGGGTCGGCATAAGTACTAGTATTCCCTCATGGTCCCTTTATTAGTGTACTAGAATGACCCCCGAAACCCCATTCTAGTTATCAAGGCCCTCCAAAACCCTAAACCCTAAACCCTAAACCCTAAACCCTAAACCCTAAACCCTAAACCCTAGACCCCCCAAAGGTGGCGATGCTTCAATGCCCACCTGGACCAGCACTCCCGGGCTGCCCTCTTGGCCCTGACGTACCGCCACCCGGGCCAGCGAGACCCTTGGCTACTATTTGAGCAGGGTTTAGGGTTTAGGGCTTAGGGTTTAGGGCTTAGGGCGTAGGGCTTAGGGCTTAGGGTTTAGGGTACTATTTGCTTGAGAAACCCCAAAAAACACAACATAAAAATGCCCATATTACCCTTGCAAGGAAGAATATTTTGATTTGTTTTTTTTTTGGGGGGGTTCTTAAACAATTGACCCTTCGTAGCTGAATGAGTGCACCTTACACTTTTTGGGGCACGAGAATCCCTATGCTACTGAAAGTGTACACCGTTTGGGACACTATAATCCCCTATACTTTGTCATAGTGGGTATTTGTTTACATCATTAAGGGTACTTGAGCTCAATAAAGGCATAGAAATTGACATTCTAAAACTATCCCAACCATGAACTAGTGCAGAACTGAAAGTGCACACACTTTTTGGGACCCTATCCTAAACCCTAAACCTTTAGCCTTAAACCCTAAACCCTAAACCCCCCATAGAAAAGTGTGAATATGAACTCAGCAACGCTAAACTTTTGCCTTTACCCTAAACCCTAAACCCTAAACCCTAAACCCCCCCTAGAAAAGTGGAAGATGAACTCAGCAGCTAAGGACCGCCTGGTGCTCGTGGACATGATCGCGCCGGGAGCTCATGCTCAGGATGGGCGGTTTCGCAGCTGGGGTTTACTGATTTTGGGGTTCGTAACCCTAAGCCCTAAACCCTAAACCCTAAACCCTAAACCCTACATGGGGCTTTGGCCTTGGGGATGTGAGGGTCGATAAATTTGTCAGTTTCTTCTTTGTTGGATTCTTTGGGGGTGCGAAGCTTTGGATGAATGTTGGGGCCCCTAAATTTCACTTTCGGGATGAGGGCCGGAGGAGTTTTTGGGAGATTCGGTTTGGGCGTGTAGAGAGGTGAGAGGCTTAGACTTTGCAACTTGATTGGTGCAGGGCCCGGAGACTCCAAAACCCCTTAATTAAGCAATATACCTTAAATTATAGTAGGAACCCTAATATGATTTAAGGTATATTCCTTAATTAAGGGGTTTTGGAGTCTCTGGGGGTGCATGGCGTACACAAGGGTTGAAGAATCGGGGGGGGGGGGGGGGGGGGCTCGCCCCGAAACCCCAAGGCCTAAACCCTCGACCCCGTGCCTCGTCGGACATGCTACTTCCGTCTGAGTCCTCAAAGAGAGCCGAGGTTCCTTAGGGTTTAGGGTTTAGGGTTTAGAGTTTGGGGTTTAGGGTCTGATTGGTTTCTTGCTGCAACACAAACCCTAAACCCTAAATTCATGAACCCTAAACCCTAACCCTAAGTTCATGAACCCTAAACCCGAAACTCATGAACCCTCCTAAATTCATGACCCCTAAACCCTAAATTCATGAACCCTAAACCCTAAACCCTAAACCCTAAACCCTAAACCCTAAGCCCTAAACCCTAAACCCTAAACCCTAAACCCTAAACCCTAAACCCTAAACCCTAAACCCTAAACCCTAAACCCTAAACCCTAAACCTAAACCCTAAACCCTAAACCCTAAACCCTAAACCCTAAACCCTAAACCCTAAACCCTAAACCCTAAACCCTAAACCCTAAACCCTAAACCCTACCCTCCGAAGCTGAGGTTGGAGCAGGCCCCGCGCTCTTCTTGTTCCTGCAGCCAACTGGGCACTTCTCGAAGTGATGGTGTCTTTCGGGTTTAGGGTTTTGGGGCGTTGAGCGTTTTGGGATCTAAAATGACGCAGGGCTTAGGGTTTTTTATGTTGAGGATTGGTTTAAGACGTAAGCTCAAACCCTAAACCCCCCAACCCCTAAACCCCAAACCTTACAGGGATGGGGAGTCACCACTTGTGTTCAGATCTAGGAATAAGCGTTCTAAGAGTTTATAGGCCCTTGGCGGATTGCGTGTATGTAGCTTGCTTGTCTTGGTCTTCAAAGGGGCTCGGGTTGAGGGTTTCGAGTTCAGGGCTCATGAAATCGTACCTCTGTTTGGGAATCACCGAAAACCCTAAACCCTAAACCCTAAACCCTAAACCCTAAACCCTAAACCCTAAACCCCTAAACCCTTATAAACCCTAAACCCTAAACCCTAAACCCTAAACCCTAAACCCTAAACCCTAAACCCTAAACCCTAAACCCTAAACCCTAAACCCTAAACCCTAAACCCTAAACCCTAAACCCTAAACCCTAAACCCTAGCTGCAAGAAGCACAATGCCAAGGGCCGCGGAAAAGGCGGCAAAGGCTGGAATTATTCGTCAAAGGCCGCTGCCTCTGAGACGGCTCTTCGTGGGAGACCTGGAAACGTGAAGGGCGTGACAAGGATGCTCTCGTTCTCGCGCCGGGCCCACGCTTGAAGAGGTTCAGGATGCTTAGGTTACTGGCTGCCATCTTCAAGCTGCGAAATTTCCATTGCCCAGAGCACATGCATGCGGCAACCCGGAATGCTCACAATCGCCAGATCCTCCCCTCCCCCCACCCCGCCCCCCCGCCTGGCCCCCCTCCCCCTCCCCCCCTCCCGCCCCTCTCCCCTTCCCCCCTGCGGGTGTGGCTTGGTTTTAGGGTTTAGTGTTTCGGGTTTTGGGGCTTTAGAGCTTTACGGGTTTAGGCCAAAGAGTTTTAGGAGTTTGGGGGTTTTAGGGCTTTAGGGCTGAGGGTTTGGGGTTATACCGCTTTGTGTTTAAACGCCTTCAAGGTTTAGGGTAAAGCCCAATTCAACATGCAGGCAAAGTCGGAGGACGAGCACTACCACAAGAATGTGCTTGGCCGAATTCTCAATGTGGCTCAGCCAGCAAGCACAAGAGTTTAGGGGTTTAGGCCTTAGGCCACTTTGGGGTGTAGGTTGTTTTCGGTCCATAGGGTTTTAGGATGAGGGGTCTGAGTGTAGGGGCCTGAAGCATACAGAAGTAACCCTGAATCTCCAAGCATGTCGTGTTCCCCTCAGCGGCCCCTCAACCCCAAACCCAAACCACCCAAAGCAATCCCCTAGAATGAGGACCCTATCCCAGTCAGACGACGGGGCCCAGATTGAAACCACTAAACCCACAACCTGCCTACACCCCTAAACCCGAAGCCGACCGTATGGCCTCCCAAACCCCAAACCCGAAGACCTAAGCCCCAAGAGTGTTTTTCCACTGCATATTGGCCTACACCCTAAACCCTAAACAAACCCTGAACCCCCAATCCTAAACCCCCAACCCGAAATCCCCAACCCGAAGCCTCTAAACCTCTACACCTCTAAACCCTAAATTTCTCGCCGTTTTGAAGCTCTAGGCCCTGCATCCTTGTACTCATATATATATATATACATATGTATACAGGGCCTTAGGGTTCATTTGAGGGGTTCAGGGTTTAGAGGCTGAGGGCTTATGTTTGGTTTTTGTTGGCTTGTCTCTGGGGGTCATCGCGTGTTTCGGGGCTTTGGGTTTTGGACCTATCAGCCCTTACACCCCAGCCCGCAAGCCCCCCAAATTCGAATCTCGGCTGAGACCCTAAACCCTAAACCCTAAACCCTAAACCCTAAACTCCAAGGCCCCGCACATTCTTAAAGTTGTTCACTTCTTGGAGCGGACCGTGCCGAACTCAGCCCTCTTGGATCCTGGTTTTCATGGGGGTTATCTTGGGTTTAGGGTCTAGGGTCTGGGGGTTAGGGTTTAGGATCCAGGTTTTCTTCCGCCCTTTTTTGTTTGATTCAAGGTTCCCTTTTTCAAGTAACCAACCCCAGAACGGTTACCCTTGTCACAAGATGGTTACTGGGTTACCAAGGTTTTGTGGGGTTTAGGGTTTGAGGTCTGGGGGAGGGCTTGAGGTTTTCGGTTGTCCCTCAGAGGGGGGGGGGGGGGATTGGAGGCGTGTAGTCTGCGGAGTGCGGCAACGAAATTCCGAAAGCCTCAAACAAGAAGACCCCACGCCCCGAAACCCTCAGCCCTAATCAATTCAGACCCGTGATGATATAGTGAGTCCCCTTATCAGCCGGGCGCAGGCCCGGAAAGTATCCAGCCACAACATTGGGCAACGCTCATAGCCTGCCTAAGAATGCGCCCGGGGCTTCAGGTGAGCCCCAGGGCAGAAACCCCAAAACCCGAAACTCGAAACCCTAAACCCTAAACCCTAAACCCTAAACCCTAAACCCTAAACCCTAAACCCTAAACCCTAAACCCACAACATCTTTCCAAGGCACTCCGCGCCCTCCAGCTGGCCTTCGTCACGGAAGACGTGCGCCAAGGTGCCCCACGGTACATGAAGCTGAAGCTTCAAGGGTTTAGGGTTTAGGGTTTAGGGTTTAGGGTTTAGAGTTTGGGGTTTAGGGTTTAGGGTTTAGGGTTTAGGGTTTAGGGTTTAGGGGACTTGCCCTACTGGTTCTTTTGGGCTTTAAGTACTTGCAGCTGCTACAGAACTTTCGGGTGTTCGGGGTTGCCCTCAGGTCCACAAGTATCTCCTGATCTGGGCAAGCGGACCTTACCCCGTACTACCCATGAACCTGCAAGTTGGGTTTCGGGTTTATCCAAAAGTCCGAGTTTCAGGGTTTTCGGTTTAGGGTTTAGGGTTATAGGGTACAGGGTTTAGGGTTGAAAGGCCACCAACTCGAGGAGGCCCTCAGCACGCCAAGCCCCAAACCTTTTCAACTCCCAAAGCGCCCGGAACTTATCTTTACTCAGCACGGGATACCGCGTGAAGCCCTAAACCCCTTGAAGCCCTAACCCCTATACGGCACAAGTTACTTCCCTGGTACATGTCAGAAAACCCCTGAAAACTCTATAAGCCCCTTCTGCATAAAACCCTATTGAACCCGAAGCCCTGTCGAACCCTAAACCCTAAACCCTCAACCCTACGCTCCCTAAACCCTAAACCCTAAACCCTAAACCCTAAACCCTAAACCCTAAACCCTAAACCCTAAACCCTAAACCCTAAACCCTAAACCCTAAACCCTAAACCCTAAAACCCTAAAACCCTAAACCCTAAACCCGAAACCCTAAACCCTAAACCCCAGGAGCGATCCTGTCAGGCCCGACCAAGCCTGAGAGCTACATCTCCGTGACGCCCTGCGTGGACGTGGCGCTTGCCGTGTCCCAAGGGCCCAGATGTCCACCCAAGAGGCCCTTAATGAGCAGTGATCAGGGTTTAGGGTTTAGGGTCTAGGGTCTAGGGTCGAGGGTCGAGGGTCGAGGGTCGAGGGTCGAGGGTCGAGGGTCGAGGGTAAGTGGGACCCTTTCATCCCCTTTCGGGTTTGGGGTTTGGGTTTTGGGCTGTTGATGTAATGGAGCCCCGAAACTTCCCATGCGAGTGGCTTCGCTATGGGCTATGGTTACTACTCCTCCTTGTCCTGCTCCTCGTCCTCCTCCTCCTCCTCCTCCTCCTCCTCCTCCTCCTGCTGCTCCTCCTGCTGCTCCTGCTGCTCCTCCTGCTGCTCCTGCTGCTCCTGCTCCTGCTCCCGCTGCCGCTGCCGCTGCTGCTGCTGCCGCCGCCGCTGCCGCTGCTATCACTACTACTACCACCGATGCATGGTCTTGGGATTTAAGCTTGCCCTAAGCCCTGAACCCTAAACCCAAAAGCAGACAAATCTGGTTTCGAGAGGGATGGCCCTTGTTGGGCAACCCAAATCTAAGGGTCCGAAATTTGATGCGGACATAATGGCCCTCGCCTTTTACAATTTCAGGTCTACACAGGGCTTAGCACCTGGGGCTTGGAGTCCCCAAACCCAAAGCAGCTGGGACCCTAAACCCTAAACCCTTAACCCTAAACCCTTAACCCTAAACCCTTAACCCTTAACCCTAAACCCGGGAACGGGGAACCCTGAACGGCACTCGTAGCCGCTCATTCCTCAGTTCTACCTTGCAGTCTCTGCCCAGCAGCAAGCGTTGTGGTCCTTATAAAGAGTCCCTGTGCCTGTGTACTTCCAAGAGGAAAAAGGTATGGGGGACCAAAAGGTCCCTTCTTGGGGAAAGTAGTTAGTAAGACTATGGTTTGTAAGGGAAATTACTTGGAGGTTCATGGTACTTATAAACCAATGACACTTGTACTTCTAACCCATTTACAAGCCCCCTTAAGTGCCCTAGTATGGTTATAAGTACAGTTATAGTTGTTAATTGGTTCCTCCAAGTGGGTTTAGGGTTTAGGGCCAAAAGTCTGAGGGCTTTGGGGCTAAGGCCCTTCAGAGTTTACGGTTTAGAGGGTTTCGAGGGTTTAAACATACACAACATAAAGACAAGCCCAAGGTGACGGCCTGCTTGCGGGGCACCTCCGGCGTGCACTGCAACGAGCTTTGCAGCCGGAGCCCCGGGGTGGGGGTTTCGGGTTTAGGGTTTCGGGTTTCGGGTTTGGGGTTTAGGGTTTCGGGTTTAGGGTTTGGGGTTTAGGGTTTGGGTTTTAGGGCTTCAGGGGTTAAGGGTGTTGGGGTTTCCGGTTTAGGGTGTAGGGGGCTTAGCGGTTGAGGGCCCAGGGGCCATAGGGGTGTAGGGTCTGCAGGTAGGGGGCTTGGGGGTTTTGGGTCTGAAGGGCTCAGGGCTCTAGATTTCTTGGGGGTTCCACCTCTCAGCTCCGAAAATGGGTTGGGGTTCAGGGTTGAGGTCGGGTTTAGGGTTTAGAGTTTACAGTTTAGGGTCTAGACCCCTAAACCCTACAACCTTTTTAAACCCAGACCCGCTTTGAACGTCGAGGCCTCGTCTGGGACTTCATGCGCACGGACATGTGCCTCGCCGAAGCGCCACGCTCAGTCGCACCGAGAGGCTCAGCCTATGGGGTTTGGGGGTCTAGGTGTTGAGGGTTTAGGATTTAGGGTTTAGGGTTTAGGATTTGGGGGTTTAGGGTGTTTAGGAGTGTAGGGTCTACAGGTTTAGGTTTTTTAGAAGGTTTGGAGGGTTTAGGGCTTAGGTGTCGAGGGTCTATGACACACACACAGACTGCACCCAAAACCGGAACCCTAGAAACCTCAACCCCTACAGGGAGGAGGCTCTGGCATTGAGGCTTCGGCTCAGTAGTTCCCGGCTTCAGATCTGGTTTCGCGTTAAGGGAATCAGGGTTCAGGGTTCAGGGTTTAGGGTTTAGGGTTTAGGGTTCAGGATTTAGGGTTTAGGGTTTAGGGTTTAGGAATCAGGGTTGGCTTAGGGTTTGGGGATCAGAAACCCTCACTCCGCATGAACGCCGCCTCAAATACAAGGGGTTTTCATACTTTTATATACTACGAACTAGTATGTAGGGCTTCTAGAAAGCTGCCCCCGCCGGCGCTGGGCTTTCCTACATTCGCGTTTAGACCCTAAACCCTAAACCCTCAACGCTAAGGCTTTGGGCAACTTCGAGCGCAGGCCCCTCCGAAAAACTCAGGAGCACTACGCGCGCGGAGCCAAGATCAGACTCGCTCTGGGAGGTTTAGGGCTGTAGGGTTTCGGGTTCGGGTTAGGATTTAGGATTTAGGGTTTAGGGTTGAGGGGTTAGAGTGCTCTTATTTATATCCAGTTGGGTTTGTATTCACCCCCTTTTTTCAAAGGTACCAGGCTACCCATGGCCATCGCAAACGTTCGTGGCTTGGATTCAGAGCTCAAGGAACCATTCGGCCTCAGGAGTTAGGACTGAGGGGTTTGGGGATTAGGGGCTGTTAGGGTTTAGGGTTTAGGGGCTTTAGGGTTTAGGGGGCCCTTGGGTTGTCTAGGTATGCAAGGGGTGTAAATATATAAATGAATATATATATATATATATATATATATATAAGGGGGTGCCCTTTGACGGGCCCATACAAAGGGGCCATGTACCTACCCTAAGATGAACCCAAAGTATAGCTGATCGGACGCATGACGTGCATGTTTGCGCAACTGCAACAGCTCGACCGGCCAGCTGTTTGAGTTCAGGAACTACATGCTGTTTCCTGCACCAATCTCAGTCCCACACCGAGGCAGCACGCAGAGTCTGACTAGAGCACGAACCCTAAACCCTAAACCCTAAACCCCAAACCCTAAAACCCCACTTAAGCCTTTGAGCTGACGACTATGATGAAGACCCATCACCCTGGAGCCTCAGGGGCTATAGCTCTGAAGACCCTTGAAGCCCGAAATAGCGTAACTTAGGCCTCATAGGCCTGAGGGATTAGGGTTTAGGGTTTAGGGTTTCGGGTTTAGGGTTTAGGGTTTAGGGCTCCCTGGGATGCTGGCTTGCCAGCCATCGTCTCCCGCGCAGCGCAGCAGCAAGAGCAAGCTCCTCGCGGGGGTGCTGCGCCGCAGGGACGCCAAGGAGAAGGCCAGGAACCCATAGGGTTTAGGGTTTAGGGTTTAGGGTTTAGGGTTCAGGGTTCAGGGTTTAGGGTTTAGGCTTTAGGTTTTTTAGGCTTTTGGCTTTGGGCTTTGGGCTTAGGTTTTATAGACTTTAGGCTTTAGGCTTTAGGCTTTAGGCTTTAGGCTTTAGGCTTTAGGCTTTAGGCTTTAAGGCTTTAGGCTTTAGGCTTTCGGGTGCCAAGGAGAAGACCCTGAACCAATTGGGGTTTATAAGGGTTTGGTAAGGGATTTACACGGTTTGTAGGGAGAAGACCCGGAACCCTTGGGGTTTAGGGTGCCAAGGAGAAGGCGGGTTTAGGGTTTAGGGTTTTGGCGTTCTAGGGTTTGAGGGTCGGATTTAGGGTTCCATGGTTTCAGGGTTTTGTGGCTTTGGGGGTTTGAGGGTTAAGGTTTTCGGTTTGCCTAGAGCATCCAAGGGCCCCAACTGTCCCACAGGAAGTGTGGGGTTTCATCTGAATTTGACTTCCTTTTTTTCGTTTTGTAACAGTCCTTAGTAGGGGGTCACAGTAGGGGGAACATCCCAACCCCTACTTAAAGTTTGCTATTTCATTCCTCAGACCCAGGGTACCAAACCCCCGTGCAGAGTGAGGAACTCAAGATGGAGCCCAAATCTGAAGCCCCAAACCCCTTAGCGGTGTAGAGTCGAGGGTTGCATATAGGGTTCAGGGTTTAGGGTTTAGGGTTTAGGGTTTAGGGTTTAGGGTTTAGGGTTTAGGGGGGACCCTTGCCTCTATCCGTAGACCAGCCACCACAGCCTAAGGCCCATACCCGAACCCTGACCCTAAACCCTAAACCCGCAACCTGAAACCCTAAGACCCGAAAACCCTAGAACCTCACCCCCCCCCCCTCCCAAAAAAAACAAAAACTAAATAAATAAATTTATATATATATATATAGCATGTTAATAATAATAATAATGAACAAAAATCAACCTCAAGCCCTTAAACCCTAAAACCCTAGCCGAGGACTCTAAGACCCCAAAACCCTAAAACCCCCAAACTTGGGATGTTCCCCCTTCTACTAGCAGTCCTTCATAGGGAGTATACTACCCCCTACTATAGTCCATTTTAAGGACTGCTAGTATAAGGGGGAACATCCCAACCCAAAACCCTTCAACCCCAAAACCCCCAAAACCCAAATGCCTCACAGGATGGCAACCTTAGATGCCTGGTGGTACCCTTATCAGCCTTTTTTGGGTTTAGGGTTTAGGGTTTAGGGTTTAGGGTTTAGGGTTTAGCGTTTAGGGTTTAGGGTTTAGGCGCTCTTATAAGATCCCTTTACATTCTATACATCCCCAGCAAACAAAAGAGGCTTTAGAGTTTCGAGTTTTTACAAGGCTCGTAGTCTAAAAAGATCCCATACACACCCTTGAGGCAATTTAAAGGCTTGTGGCTTTTCGGCGCGGGGAACGGGGGAGTGGGGGGGTGGTACCAGAGGGACGCAGCAGTTGGCAGAGCTGCAAACCCTGCGAGGAGAGTGGCTTCCCAGCGCCTAGTGCCTCCACCACCTCGCTTCACGAGTCGCTGGAGGACTTTGGTTTAGGATTTAGGGTTTAGGGTTTTTAGGGCTTTTCGGGTTTTTCGGGTTTTTAGGGGTTTTTAGGGTTTTTAGGGTTTTTAGGGTTTTTAGGGCTTTCGATTTGGGGCTTTTAGATTTACTCAGGGCTTAATTGGTGTTTAGGTGCCAGGTGTTAGGGTTTAGGGCCAGAAGTTTCGCGCGACCTACTACTGACAAATATGCAATGCACCTGTCTTAAGGGTATATACGTTGCTAAAGGGAGGGGGTCTCAACTCATGGGCGTGGGATGAGGGTTTATATGGGACTCATGGCTCAGCTGGTTTCTCGGCCCTAAACCTCCCAGCCTCCTGGCCCGATGCGCCTTTAAGGGGGATCATATACTTCTCTATTTTTTGCTTAAGAACCCCCCCAGAAAAATAAATAAATCAATAAATTACGTAAATAGTATTATTCCGTATAAGGGCAACATAGGAATTATGTTGTTGTTTTAGGTGTTCTTAAGCAAGTAGTAGTTCTGCAGGGAGTCAAGGCATCCCTCACATCCCAGAGCCCTCCCAAAGCTGGCAGACCTCACAAAAGAGCCCGAAAAAGGGTTTAGGGTTTAGGGTTTAGGGTTTAGGAAGCCTGTAAACCGTGTCAACCCTGTGCTTGGAAGCCCTTTTGACTTAGGGTTTCGGGTTTAGGGTTTTCGGGTTTTAGGGGTTTAGGGTTTCAGGGTTTAGGGTGGATAAGCCCTTCTGACTTAGGAAGTCTACTTAGCATCCCATAGCTCTTTGCAACTCGACAACCCAACTTACTAGCAGTACTTACGAAGTCAAACAAGAAGGCTTCCAAGCAAGCCCTGTAAGCCTATTAAAAGCCCCAAGAGTGCCCTAAAGCCTCATACATCCTGGTCGTGACCCTGCAAGCCCTTAAGCCACGGATTTTCAGACTCTCAGCCCTGAGCCCTAAACCCTTAAGCTGAAGGGTGTTTGCTAAGACGCCTGGAAACCTGTGGAGGATGGCCCTGAACCCCGCGCCAAGGTAAGTCCCACGCACCTGGATTTAGGGTTTTGGGTTTGCATGCGGAACCCTAAAGCCACCCCTTGAACCCTAAGACCTAAACCCTAAACCCTTTAGGGTTTGAACCCCTCACACATGAGCTCCTAAACGAGCCCTCAGGCCCTTGGGACCTTCAAGAATGTCTCTCTTAGCGGTTTAAAAGATCCTTTTCAGGAATATTCTTCCGAGGGTTTTACGAAACCCTACACCCGAAACCCGAAACCCGAAACCCTAAACCCTAAACCCTAAACCCATCCTAAAAAGAGTTCCCTCAGGAGATTCGGTCTTCGAGGACACTCAGCCGCTGCTCCTCGTGCCCGGCGCAGCCGGCGGCCGGGATTGCATCGATCGCTCCGGTGATTAGAGCGGAGTGTTCCCTAGGGCGTAACCTGGTTTGGAGTTTAGGGTTTAGGGTTTAGGGTTTAGGGTATAGGGTTTAGGGTTTAGGGTTTAGGGTTTAGGGCGGGTTTAGGGCTAACTCAGGATTTAGGGTTTGAGGGTTTTAGGGCTTAGGGTGTAAGGTTTTTAGGGTTCAGTGCGTCAGGGTTTAGGGTCGTAACCTTGCGCCTTACTTGAAACAGGCTAAAGAAGCTACCCTACCCAAGAATGAAGGGCCCATGCCCTTGTTTTTGTTTCAGGCTTGAGGGCTCAGGGGTTAAGACTTGGGATGTTCCCCCTTATGCTAGCAGTCCTTAATAGGGATTCTAATACGGGGTATTATAATCCTTATGAAGGACTGTCATTATAAGGGGGAGCGTCCCAACTTTAGGGTTAAACCTAAACCCTAAACCCTAAACCCTAAAACGAACCCCGAAGCAGGCGCAAAAGTCCGCACCTGCCAGTGGCCGGGCGCGCCATGCCGCAGTGGACCAGGCAGCTGATCGTGTGAGTACCCAGGGGAGCGTAGGACCCTAAGCCCTAGACCCTAGAGACCTAGATCCTAAACCCGAACCCTAAACCCTAAACCCGAAGCTCTAAACCCTAAACCCTAGGCGGCCATTCCAATCCCTACATCCCAAACCACCCCAGACTCGAAATCCTAAAGCGTCCGGGTGAACCCCAGATTCCCTACAGGTCAACCTGCAGGATCCCTTATAATGGAAGTTTTAGGGTTTTAGGGTTTTAGGGTTTTAGGGTTTGAAGCCCATGTCTGCCTCCCTTTTGCAGTAAGAAATCTTAGTATCAGAAACCCTAAGGGTCGTACATTGCAAGGATAAGAAGTCTTAACGGCCGTCTACTTGAGAGTTCATGGAGGTAGCATCGCGCAACGAGCACTTTCAATGCAAGGGCTCCTCACTGCGGAGGTCTGTGTCACCAAACCCCCAAGCAATGTGCCCTATAACCCCTACACGAAAATCGGGCACCCTGAGCCCGAAACCCTAAACCCTAAACCCTAAACCCCATATATGGTTTGAGCCTACCTTTTTTATGTGTTTAGTTCAATCTGTTCTTGCTGTGGTTGGGAGGGGGGGGGGAACATTTCTAGCCCGAAACCCTAAACCCTAAACCCTAAACCCTAAACCCTAAACCCTAAACCCTAAACCCTAAACCCTAAACCCTAAACCCTAAACCGAACATTTCTAGGAGCTGGAGTTCCTGGTGCAGCAGATCCGAAGCCTATGCCACGATCGCAAAGGCGAAGACGACTGTGAACGAGAGATTAGGATTTAGGGTTTAGGGTTAAACTGTTTAGGGTTTAGGGTTTAGGGTTTAGGGTTTAGGGTTTAGGGTTTAGGGTTTAGGGTTAGGCCCTTTTTGTGTGTGTGTGTGTGGGGATTACTATTTAGAGGGATTTTGAAGCTGCTTTGCCTGCAGGGGTGTTCATGGGAAGGGTGTGTCGTTCTGATGCAGACTTTATCGCCCAAGCCCTAAACTCCACAACCAGAACCTTCAGCTGCCCTGGGTGCAGACTGTTGGATGTCCCCCCCTGTCGGCGACGCCAGATTTGTCCAGTCTGGATTAAAACGCGAGACCACCACTATCACTAGCCACTTCAAGAATCGTTTGTTTGATGTCCCTTTCGATCCCCCGCCCCTCAAAGACATGGTCGTTAAAAATGGTCGTTGCGAGCCGGAGCAGTTGTTCTTTCCACTTGGCTCTTCTTCTGCCGGTCCGATAAGGTCCGCCCAGAGTTTGCTGTTTGAGAAACCTGTGAAACGAGATGACACGGCTGGGGCAGCGGACAGGTCTCCGCAGAATATGACCCAGCAGTTTCAGTTGGTGGAGCCTAAGCTCGTCGCTCAACGTTGTTTCGTTTAGTTGTGCTTGTACTGTTGCGTTGCTGGCTCTGCCGATTTGCATCGTGCCGGCTAGCTCCTATGCTCTAAGACACTAAATCCCCAGACCCCTAAATGCCCAAACACCCCGAAGCCGACAGAAACGCCGCAGTGGAAACCCTGACCCCAAAACCCCTTACGCATTGATCCCTACATCCCTAGACCCCTAAACCCTTGGCAGCCCAGTGGTATCCGTTTTCCTTTTGTTTGTTCAAGGTTCCCTTTGTACAGTAACCGACCCCGAAAAGGGTGCCCGTATTAGATTATGGTTACTGGGCCACCCAAAAACCTAACCCTAGAGCCCAGACCCTAGACCCTAGACCCTAAACCCTAAACCCTAAACCCTAAACCCTAAACCCTAAACCCTAAACGCTATAAACTTAAACCCATAAACAACCCCCTGAACCCCAACCTGCGAGTCAGGCATCCGCCAGGAGATGGAGCAGTTGGACCAGCGCTGCCGCACTGAGGTGACGTGTTTCTAACGAAGAGAAGAGGCACTAATCCCTACACCCTAAACCCATAGGTTTAGGGTTTAGGGTTTAGGGTTTAGGGTTTAGGGTTTAGGGTTTAGGGGTTTAGGGTCATAGCCCATCTGAACCCTAAACGATGGACCGTTCCTCCACCGTTCGTTGTGTGTGTAGGCTATCAATGTGATGCTTCTTCGCGGAAGCCCGGAATCACTGGACACGTTCTGGACGCTACACCGACAGGGCGAAGCGGTGATCCAAGAAGCCAATGAGGAAGGCAACGACTTTGCTCTCCGATTGTGCGACAGACTAGAGCAACTGCGGATTCTCCACGTGGCGCTCAACAAGCCGGCTACCGCTGCAGATCTGCATGCGAACTTCATTCAATCTCCCTGGTAGATGCCTTTTTTTAGGTTCCCGAGTCTCGGGTTCAAGTTCTGGGCTGGTTTAGGATGCGGGGTTTGGGATTCTATAGATTCACCTCTATAGCATCTGGGTTGCAAGGGTTTTTGCGGATGGTTATATTAAACCCTTAGCTTTGGATCTTAAGCAGATTAGGGTTAGGGTGTATGGGCGTTCCTGGAGAATCCAAAACCCGAGGGCCTAGACTAACCTCTACACCCTTTACCCTTCAAACCCTAAGCCCTCCACACAAACCCTAAACCCTAAACCGAAACCCTTCACCCTTCACCCTTCAAGCCCAAAACCCGGAACCCTAATCTGCTTAACCCTAAACCCTAATCTGCTTAACCCTGAACCCTAAGCCCTTCAAACCCTAAACCCTAAACCCGAAACACTAAGCCCTAAGCCCTAATCTGCTATTAAAACCCTAAGCCTTAAGCCCTAAACCCTAAACCCTAAACCCTAAACCCTAAACCCTTCAAAGCCTAAACCCTATAGAGCCTTTACAGCGTACGCCTGTCACAGGCCGTGGAGCTCCGCGCACAGCTCTCTGCCGCCCAGGCCCCGAACCTTGAGGTTTAGGGTTTAGGGTGTAGGGTGTAGGGTTTAGGGTTTTAGGGTTTAGGGTTTAGGGTTTAGGGTTTCGGGGTTTAGGGTTTCGGGTTTAGGGTTTCGGGTTTAGGGTTTCGGGTTTCGGGTTTATAAGGGTTTACGGTTTTTAGGGTTTTTGATTTGGGGTTTAGGGTTTGGGTTGACGGTTTACGTAGCTAGCCGTTATACTCTTAAACAGGTGGAGAGTTAATTGCTTTAAGTGTCGGGCGCACTTACCCTTGTTCAGTCTATGAGCAGGCCCAATGATTAGTGGTTATATTTTCCCGCTGCAGAAGGTACAACCTATGTAAGTGCAGCTAAACCCGCCAAGAACGAAAATGCAGAAGAATGACGGTCATAAGAGTAAGATTGCTGTTTAGGGTTCTGGGTTTAGGGCCGGAAAATCTCGCCAGGCTTTAGCTCTCCTTCATGAGAGGGAGGGGCGGTGAGTGGAGGTAAACTCTATGCCCAGAAGGGTAGTGTGAGGGGCATATAAAGTTCTAGGGCAGAGGACCCAAAACCCTAACCCCAATTATGAAAAAGGGAACCAAAACCCTAAAGCCTAACCTGGGTGTCCCTGGGCGGTGGAGCATCCCATATAATGTTCTAAGTCTTAAAGCGGGGTTGGGGGGGTTTTGGGTTTAGAGCCCGAACCCTACTGCTCCAAATAGCAGTATTTACGGACTGTAGACCCCAAGGTAGGTATCCTTTGTATACTTAAAGAAGATCTAGGGTACCCCTAAACCGTAAACCCTAAGCCTCAAACCCTAAACCCTAAAGTTTAAAACCCTAAACCCTAAACCCTAAACCCTCAGCCCTTGGCGGCCCTCGGTCCTCTAGTTCGCTTCAAAAGGCGCGCTTCGCTGCTATGCAGCTGGAGAGCGACCGCTTGCGCCGTGAGCTCCAGGCGTGTCCTTTGGATTCAGGCGCGCTTGCGGTGCCCGGGTGTGGGGTTTAGGGTTTAGGGTTTCGGGTTTAGGGTTTAGGGTTTAGGTTTAGGGTTTCCAGTGTAGGGTCTGGAGTTTAAGGGCTTAGATTAGGGCCTAGGCAGAACCCTATAGCTACTGTTTCTTCTAGTAGGGAATGGAGGAATGAGTTTCCGTAGATCAAAAGAAAACATGTTACATACGTTACCCCCGTAAAAGCGATGTATGTACATATATATATATATATATACATGCGGGGGATGTAAGGTTCCCAACTCCCTCATTCCCTACCGAGAGCCAGTAGGTGAAGCCATGCAGCTTTGCTCCTTTGTTGAGGGACGGGGTGGTTCGCAAACCAAGGGACCCTTGGGGACCCGTTTCAGAAGCAGCCCTGGAGACAAAAGGTAAATGTCAACTAGAACAGACATCGAAAGATCACCACATGCGAATTCCATCCCAACTGGAGTTCAAGGCTCTTGCGCTTGAGACCCTAAACCCTAAACCCTAAACCCTAGACCCTAAACCCTAGGATGTGACTCCCAGGTACGGCTGCTGCCGTCCAGGAGATGCGCTTTCTGGAAACCCACGTGGACGGGCTGCGGATGGGTTGTGGCATGGTGGCCGAGCATCTGGCCTCCATGCGTGCAGAGGCCCGTTTTTTTTTTTTTTTTTTTTTTTGGGGGGGGGGGGGGGTTCAGGGTTTAGGGTTTAGGGTCTAGGGTTCAGGGTTTAGGGTTTTTGGGCTCAGGGTTGAGGGTTTAGGGCTTAGGTTTTAGCGTGCGGAGTGCAAAGCCCACCTCTCAGCGGCCCTGAATAGGAACCACACCCACACCCAACCCAGACACCCTCAACCCTACAGCCGCCCCCAAACCTTAACAGCTTCAACCTCAACCCCAACCCTCAACCATGAACCCGAAACCCCAATCCCAAGACCCTAAACCCCAAACCCTATAACCCAACCTTAACCCCAAACTTTCTGTTATTTGAAGGTTCCCTAAGAATCCAGTAAGGGGCTCTTTGTTTATACGAACCTACAAAAGGCACGCTTTGGGGTTTTTGGGGTAGAACCCCAGGAGACAGAGAGCCCACTTCTTACTGTTGGTGAGCAGGGAATGAGGGAATTGGGGCCCTATGTATACAACCTTTAAGGGATTATATAGGGTACCTCATTCCCCGTTCCCTACTAACAGTAAGGCTTGCCCCTTGAGGTTGCCAACTACCAAAGCCGGGTGGAACAGCTGTATGCGGAGGACATCCTGAGGTTTTTCAAGTAGGGTTTAGGGTTTAGGGCTAGGGTTTAGGGCTTAGGCTTTAGGGTTTAGGGGTGAGGGTTTTTACGGGTTTAGGGTTTAGGGTTTGAGATACTAGCCACTTCTGCATCTCTTATCAAGCTTCAGCCTGAAGCATACTGGCTTGATGCTTTGGGGCTGAAAGCCTTTAGGGGTTTAGGGTCTAGGGGTTCTTGGGTTTGGGGTTTAGGGTTTCGGGCCTGTACCCAGAACTCCCCGCAGTGATTTGCGCGTGTTTTGAGTTTAGGGTGTAGCCAAACCCTGTAGGGATTAGGGATCTAGAGTCGAGGGTCACCCGGTTTAGGGTTTAGGGTTTAGGGTTTGGGGTTTAGGGTTTAGGGTTTAGGGTTTAGGGTTTAGGGTTTAGGGTTTAGGGTTTTGGGTTTAAATCCTAAAGCCCAAAGCAGTCTAAGCCCGAGGCCTGCTGTTCCGCCCTCGTGGCCCCCCCCCCCCTCCCCCCCGCCCTAGACTTTGAACTCTGAACCCCGAACCCTAAATTCTGGGAGTAGGCCTCTGGGAGAACGTATATCGTTCCCTTGTTCTAGAGAGGATCAGATATGTAGGGCTTAGGGTTTTGGGTGTAGGGTTTAGGGTTTAGGGTTTAGGGGTCTCACTCGGAACCCTGAACCCTAGCTTCTGGTAGTAGGCCCTTGCGGGCACTTCTTTGGCCCCCCCACTGTGCTTAGAGAAATGTTTTCAAAATGTTCAAAGGGTTTTATATGGTGGGCAACCTAGCCCTAAACCCGCAACCCAAAACCCTCAACCCTAAACCATGATCCACCCCTAAAGCCTAAACCTTAAAACCTAAACGGTAAACCCCTAGAGAGGGTCATATTTAGGAGTATTTTCTCAGAGCATGCTGAGCAGACCAGGAGCGCCGCGCGGGCGAGGAGGTGTGGGCAGGTTTCGAGTTTAGGGTTTAGGGTTTATTGGGTTTAGGGTTTAGGGCTAGGGTTTAGGGTCAGGTGACTTGTTCGCTTTGCTTGGCTGTTCAGGAACTTACGAGTACCTTCAGTTTGCCTCCGCCCATAGTATGGTAACAGCCTCAGACCTACACCCTCAGTTCGGTAAGTTCCTGCACGGCTATTTGTGTTTAAGGGTAGTTTCATGGGCCCTTAGTATGTTCCCTTAACCTCCTTTAGAGGGTTCTGACTTAATTGCCCTTAATTTGTACGGAGTATAGGGTATAGAAGGGTTATATAAGGGGTACCTGTTTAAGAGCCCATACTAAGAAGGGACAATGTAACTAACCTAAGATGTTGCAAGGCTGGGGCTTCGGGGGGGGGGGGGGAGGGGCTGATCTTTGTTTGTCCCATGTACGTGTCAGGAACAGCAACAAAATCACACTTGCTGCAACTACGTGAACGCTGTGGTATAGTTTACTCCCACTCTCATCTTGAGTGGAATTCATGTCATGTGGACTTTTTTGAGATTCAGCTACGGTTCGCGTATACTGTATACGTATAACTGTAGGTCCGCAGGCTTTTCGGTACTGTACCCCCTGCCCCCCCCCCCCCCCCTCCCTTCCCGCCTGGCTATTACTGAATCTGCAAGCAAGCACAGGCACGGGTTCACACACCGCACCTGATGCTGCCTCCCAGCTAAGTAAACCGCTTGGGCCGCCATCGCCAGCCTCGACCACCTCTTGCGTGACGATAGAAAGCGAAGCTTGCAGCAGATAGTGTACACGGAAGTCGGAGCTTCGCAGAAGGGCCCCTCATGTGCACTTGCTGCAACTCCAAGCCCTACCTGCCAGGACACAGAACAGCAGCAACGGCTAGCCTCCACCAAAGTTTGTGATTTGGGGGTGTGCGGTATTTAGAGTTTAGGGCTTATGGGCATCATCTATGACTCTCCAAGCCTGGAGAAGCCCCACACCCAAACACGAAACCAAACCCGAAACCAACCAAACCCCGCATCTCGCAGGCGGGGGCAGCGCAGGGCCACCGAAGCGCCACAGAGGCGGAGCTGTGCCGCGTGCGCGAGGCGATGCTGCAATCCTTCCAGGCCCGGCGCAGCCATTTTGGGGGCTTAGGGTTTAGGGTTTAGGTACTGATAGCCCACGTATAAGCCCCTTAAGGGCCCTGATCCGGTATAATCGGGCTATATGTACAGTTATAATTGGGTTGTTAAGAACCCATGATCCTCCAAGTAAGGTTTTCGGCCGAACTCCTCCTGCCGCGAAGGACACGCGGGAACTCCAGCAGAAGTTTCTGGTAGCTGACCAGGAGTTCGCGGCTGCGACTTGCCTTGGCCCTTAGGGACCCCCGGAGTGTTGTGATCCCGAGATCCCTTTTCTTGAGCAAGATGCCCTGCGATTTGGGGTTTAGGGTTTGGGGTTTAGGGTCTAGGACTTTCTGGTAGGAATATAGCGATCCCAACATCAAAACGCCCCAACCCCCAACCCCAAAACCCTAAACCCCAAATCCTAAACCCTGAAACCTAAACCCAAAGCTTAAATCCTAAACCTTAAACCCTAAACCCTAAACCTTAAACCCTAAACCCTAAACCCCAAACCCTAAACCCTGTTCTTACATCAGGGGGTTTGGGTCTCTCTTGTTGTCACTCTCAGACGTTAGGGTACCCCATTTAGTTCCCATTTCACTTCCTTGGGCGTCGGTTTAAGCGTCGTAGAGTAGTTACAGGGTCCCCCTTGTTAAGGGACCATATAAAGGGCCCATGAAATGAAACCACCCTTAGACAGGGTTTGGGGTTCAGGGTTTACAGTCCCTGAAGCGTGGCGTTGCCTGACCCCTATAAACCCTAAACCCTAACCCCTAACCCCTAACCCCTAACCCCTAACCCCTTACCCCTTACCCCTTACCCCTTACCCCTTACCCCTAACCCCTAACCCCTAACCCCTAACCCCTAACCCTAACCCCTAAACCCTAAACCCTAAACCCTCTCCCTAAACCCTTGATTCAAGCAGCCGCCCCTTCGTGGGGAGTTTGCAGGTGAAGCTAGCGGCGGAGCAGAAAGCTCGCGATGAGACAAAGTGCCTTGAGGCCCAAGTGGAGGGTTCAAGGTTTTCGGGTTTAGGGTTTGGGGCTTAGGGCCTCGCAGTAGGGTACTAGCAGGGTCCTGCTCTTAAAGACGCCCCTAAACCCTAAACCCGAAACCCTAAACCCTAAACCCTAAACCCTAAACCCTAAACCTTCCAAAGGGACGCGTGCCCGGGCAGGAGCATCTGCTTTCCGCCAAAGAAGAGGAAGCAAGCTTCGAACAGAGGGGCGAGGACACGAAGGCTCCATGCCCTCTCAAAGGGTTTTTTTTGGGGTTTAGGGTTTAGGGTTTAGGGTTTAGGGTTTAGGGTTTAGGGTTTAGGGTTTAGGGTTTAGGGTGTAGGGGAAGACCCTCCATGCTTGGGTTCGGTAGGGGATTTAGGGGCCGGCAGCTTGAAAACACGAGTATTTCGGAACCTGGAAGAAAGCAAACCCTCAGCACTCACCTCGCTGCTTACGGTCTGCGGAGCAATGTTCAGGATTTGCAGGCCCCCCCTAATCCCTAAACCAGGGTCGCAGGATCTCTAACCCCTAAACCTTTAGTCTTCGGGTCTGTAGGGGGCACCGTGCAGGCTCGCTTGGCTGCCCTTCGCAAAGACGAAGCTGCCGCACTGAGGGAGCTCCAGATGAAGGCGGTAAATGGGGTTTAGGGTTTAGGGGTTAGGGTTTAGGGTTAAGGGTTTAGGGTTTGGGGTTTGGGGTTTAGGGTTTAGGGTTCATGTTGTTGTGGGGGTGTTAGGGTTTGCATAGGGTTGAGTTTGCGGAGGGTCCTGGGTTTAGGGTTTGAGGCGGGTTCAGGGGACCCCGGGCGGTTTAGGCTTTTGGAGTTTATGGGGCTACTGAGTGCACGGCCACACACAAAGGGTTCAGCAACTTGTCTCAGCACAGCGACGCTCAATCTACGAATTGTTTGCTGGCGCCAAGCAGCATCAATGTGTTGGCGGGGTTACGTTTTCTTTAGATTTGGAGGGCGCCTTTGACTTGGTTCCGCGACCGTATTTGGCATACAGCCTTCGGCTGTTTGGGTGACAGAGGACTTGATCCAGCTTCTCATGAACTTTCACTACGAAGCCAAATACCAGATGTCTGTTGGAGCATTCGATGGTGGCGTCACATCCAACTGTAGGATTAAGCAAGGGTGCAAAGTGGCACCTGGAAGCCCAGATGGGAGGCCCACCCCGGGAAGTCCACTACCGCCACCGGTTCCAGAACCCGTGAAAGCTCAGCCACTGACCCAAATGCTCACCCCGGGCTTGCTGCCAACAGTGCACCGAGTAGCCGACCTGAACCACTGTCCGCATACACTGTCGATTGCCTTGCGACATGCGGGCCTTGTTTGGTTCCCCAAACAACAAGGAATCTTCTCTAACAAAGACCCCAGCAAAAGGATCCATGACCCTAAGCCCTAAACCCTAGAAAAGGAATCTTCTCTAACAAAGACCCCAGCAAAAGGATCCATGACCCTAAGCCCTAAACCCTAGAAAAGGAATCTTCTCTAACAAAGACCCCAGCAAAAGGATCCATGACCCTAAGCCCTAAACCCTAGAAGCCTAATTAAGCTGTTGGGTTTTAAGGTGTCGGTTCAGAATTTAGAGGTTCTTCCTTGGACTGCCCGAGGTACTATCGGCTTGCGTACTTGAGGGTGGCTCCTTTCAGCTAAGCCCTGAACCCTGAAACCCCTTAAGACCCCGAAACCCTGAAACCCTAAACGGCCTCAACAATCATCAAACCACAACTCCCTAAACTCCCTAAACTCCCTAAAAATCCCACTTTTCCGAGGGGCCTTCGTCAACGAATCCTGTCCTACCCAAAGCAATCTGAACCCAGAGCCCCTAACCCCCTGAAACCTCAGACCGCCTAAACCCCAGTCCCTTGCTTCCACACACGAAACCCTAAACCCTTATAAACACCAAACCCTAAACCCCAAACCCTAAACTCTGAACGCTAAACCCGGAACCCTAAACCCCGAACCCTAAACCCCAAACCCCTAAACCCCTAAACCCCAAACTCCCAAACCCCTAAACCCCAAACTCCTAAACCCCTAAACCCCAAACCTAAACCCTAAAAATATCACACCTAAACCCTAAACCCTAAAGCCTAAACCCTAAACCCTAAACCCTAAACCCTAAACCCTAAACCCTAAACCCTAAACCCTAAACCCTAAACCCTAAACCCTAAACCTAAACCCTAAACCCCCCGGAGGATGAGCAGCTGAACCATCTTCGTGAGCTCTACGAGACTGAGCGGGAAGGCCGGCTCAAAGGTTGGGGTTTTGGGGGGTTTAGGGCTTAGGGCTTGGGATTTAGGGTTTAGGGTTTAGGGTTACGGGCTTGAGATTTCAGGGTTTAGGGGTTTAGTGTTTATAGGGGTGTAGGGTTTAGCGTTTAGGGCTTGGGGTTTTGGGGGGTTTAGGGTTCAGGGTTACGGGCTTGAGATTTCAGGGTTTAGGGGTTTAGGGTTTATAGGGGTTTAGGGTTTAGGGTTTAAGGCTTGGGGTTTTAGGGTCTAAAGTTTAGGGTTTAGGGTTACGGCCTTGAGATTTCAGGGTTTAGGGATTTAGGGTTTATAGGGGTTCAGGGTTTAGGGTTTAAGGATTGGGGTTTTAGGGTTTAGGGTTTAAGGTTTAGGGTTTCGGGCTTGGGGTTTTTGGGTTTAGGGTTTGGGTATTAGGGTTCGGGGTTTACGGTTTGAGGCTTTAGGGTTTGGGGTTTTGGGTTTCGGGTTTGATGTTTGGCTCCAAAAACCCTACTTTTTGAACCCTGAACCTCAAAACTCTACCTAGAACTTTGTAAGTACCCAGCGCAACCCTAAACCTTGCAAACCCTAAGCCCGTTAAGTCCACAACCGTAGATACCCCAAACCTAAACCGCATAAACCCTACACCCTAAGGCTCCAAATTGCCCAAAGCAGGTATTATTACAGACTGTAGACCCAATGTAGGGTTTAGGGTTTACGGTTTAGGGTTTAGACTTTAGACCCCCGATGTAGGCATTCTTGGCGCACTTGGAGCCCTAGGGACTTGCGAACCAGGGGGTCTATTTTAGGGCCCCCTATATTCGTAAACCACCATAGTAAAAATGTTCCCTATTTGGGTTTCTGAGGGGCCCCTATATACATTTTGTACTGGCTGGATCAAGTCTGTTCCTTGTTTGGCTTCATAAGGGGCCTTACATACGAACATCTTTTCGAAATGGGTTCAAGGCCAACCCTGAACCCTAAACCGAACACACTTGTGGCTTTCTGCGGGTTCAAGCTTAGGGTTAGGAGAGCGGCGGGCTTTGGGTTTTGGGAGCTTTTGGCCATGTTGAAGTACGTTGCTCTCCAGCATCGCTATTAAGGTTTGACGTACGCTTCGACTCAGCCAGTCGGGAGTGGGGGTTATCAAAGGCAGATTTGAGGTTTTTACCCTAAACCCTAAACCCTAAACCCTAAACCCTAAACCCTAAACCCTAAATCCTAACCCTAAACCCTAAACCCTAAACACTGGGTATCATTTCGAGGTCCCTTCATGGGGGATTCGACGATACATTTGGGATGCAAATGGGGGCCCTAATTTTTTGAAAGTCCGTGTTCGAATGCAATATCCAGGCTCCTTCCTACGCGAAGAGCAGTTCATGCAGAACCAGAGGCACGACAGATTCCGTAAAACCCCCAAAACCTTCAACAGTGCAAAAAAACCTCAGGTGCTGAGTAATCCTGCTAAGGAGTATTTCCCCTTGTTGGGTTCAAGAGGATCATATTCAGGAAGGGGTATTTTCCCTTCTTGGGTTGAAGAGGATCATACTCAGGAATATAGCCATGTTTTTGAAGCTTGGGAGGCCCTAGACCCTCCTAAGTGGGAACCGATATTGATTAGAATACAGGATTTCCGAGTGGGGGGGGGGGTTAGCGTTTAGGGTTTAGGGTTTATAGTTTGTAGGGTTTAGGGTTTGGGGTTTGGTTTAGGGTTTAGGGTTTACCCCAACCTCAAAATGCGGGACCCCATGGCTTTCATGTGCTTCTCATGTTTTTGAATTTGGGTGGGGGGGTACCAAACAATCCAAGAACTTGTAAGCCCTTCCCGTGGGTCTATGTCGATGTTCTATAATAATTCAGGGCCACAGTTTGACATCAGCAGCATGCAGCCGGAGCCCATGGCACTGAAGACGCATGTCTTAGGTTTTAAGGGTCGAGTTGTTTGGGGTTTGGGGTTTGGGGGCTTGCCAACTTGTTCTGTGGTCATGACACGTGTTTGGTAGGGCTTATGGGGTTTATAGGGCGTATTGTGGCATGCATAGGGTTGATAGGGTTTGATGGGTTTGTAGGGTTGATGGGGTTGATGTGGTTTAGGATTCCGGGTTCAAGGTTTCGGTTCACAGGATTTAGAACCCATGCCTGACAAGCTTGCCATGCAGGAGGTCCTTGCAGGATCAGCCCTAACCCCCAAACCCTAAAACTCGAAGACCCTAAAACTCTAACACCCTAAAACCCTAAAACCCCAAGAACCCTAAAACCCTAATTAAACCCTAAACCCCAAAAAAACCTAAAACCCTAAACCCCAAAAACCCTAAAACCCTAAAGCCCTAAAGCCCATGCAGGAGGTCCTTGCAGGACCAGTCGGAAGAGCTGCAAAGAAGCGGCGGGCTCATCTCCGTCGAGATGCACGAGCGGATCCTAAGCGAGCAGGCTGCTCCTTTCTTGCAACTGGTCCTGCTTCTAGGACCCAAGGTTTATTGTTCAGGGTTTAGGGTTTAGTGGTTATAAGCCCGTATTCCCTTGTTCCGGGGTTCAGGTTTTCCTTATCAGCCCATTTACACCAAAAAGGGCACCCTCTTTATTCCTAGGTTACTCTTGGCTTTAGTTTTTCTGATTCCTACGGGCACCCAACAAGATGAGGGACACCTAAACGGGTCGCTTATTCCATTTTATTCCTAAGGCTACCTTTCCCGATCAGTTTGAAACGAGCCCTTCCGGGTCCCGAAATTGGGAACCCGCAACGGAACCCCTGACTTATAGAGGGCTTCTTAAACGGGAAGAGGGAATATGAAAGGAAAGACTTAATTTAATGATTGCAACAGCCGTTAAGGGTGTGTTTAGTAGTACTCTTTCTGCGCTCATTTCATTCACGCTTGTATTGGTAGCTATTATCCGGGCTTATTGTATTCTTATTGCCCAGGCGCTTGCACTACAATCATTCGTTCATTGCTTCGCTTCGCATACAAATTTATAGTGCATGAGGTACCTCTCATTCTCTTGTAGAAGCTTTTCGGGGACTATACAGGGGTACCGAATTCCCGCGATGTGAGCCCTAAAGCCCAGCAGCCCTGGTCCCAAAGAACCAGTAGGGTTTAGGGACCCCCAAACCCTAAACCCTAAACCCTAACCCTAAACCCTAAGCCCTAAGCCCTAACCCTAAACCCTCTGCAAGCGCAATGAGGAGTTCTATGGAAAGGCGCTGCGGGCCCTCGATGACTTGGAGCGCAGCTGCCTGGACCGGACTCAGGCTGGGGCCCGCACTAAACCGAAAAAACGGGTAAAAACCCTCCAAGACGAAAGGGTTTCGGCTTTCGGGTTTCGGGATTCGGGTTTCGGGTTTCGGGTTTATAAGGTTTAAGGTTTAGGGTTTAGGGTTTCGGGTTTAGGGTTTAGGGTTTAGCCCCCAAGCCCTGAAACCTGAACCTCCAAGCAAGCTGTTTATTCCCAACACTACTCCAGGACCGGAACTTGCTTGAGGGGTGTCGAGGTCGAGTTTGGGATTGCTGGGAGGGTTTAGGTGCTCATGTGCTTCGGCATGTGCCTTTTTAAAGGGGCTTCACCTCAATGCATGGCCTCACATGAGGATCTTGATTTACAGAAGCTTGGAAGGTGCAGGTGTCTGGGAGCCACAGGTAACACCTGACTCACCCTAAACCCTAAACCCTAAACCCTAAACCCTAAACCCTGAACCCTGAACCCTGAACCCTGAACCCTGAACCCTGAACCCTGAACCCTAAACCCTAAACCCTAACTCTGGCAGGAGGCCATCCTGACATCCTTCTGCAGCGAGCCCGACATGCCAACTGGAAGCTTTAGGGTTTAGGGTTTAGGGTTTAGGGTTTAGGGGTTGGGGTTTAGGGTTTAGGGGTTGGGGTTTAGGGTTTAGGGTTTCGGGTTTCGGGTTTCGGGTTTCGGGTTTAGGGGAGTTCTTTCTGGTTTGGGGGGCTTGGGGGGTCTATGGTTTTGGGGCTTTAGGGGCTTTAGGGGGCTTTACTTTGGTCTTTTGTAGGGTTTGCGGGATTCCCTAAAAGTGTATACCCTACACCGAAATCCTAAAACCAATGAAATCTAAACCCTGCATACTGGTTACAGGGTTCAGGGAAAGCGGGATTAGCGATTTAGGGATTGTTGCGGGGCTCAGGCTAGGGCTAGTCAGGTCAAGTCTCAAGGATTTGTAGGGTCTACGGCATCCGGTTGGGAGGGGCTTGGGGATTTAGAGGGTAAGGCTTTGTGGAGTTTGGGTTTAGTTTTTGCGAAAATCGAGGTTTGTAAGGGTTTCGGGTTCACAAGGCATTGGGATGTGTAGGGTTGTTTTTTTTTTTTTTTTTTGGTGGGAGGGGGGGTGTATTTCCCTAAATCCTAGATCCTAAAGGACGTCTATAGGGTTTGGAGGCACACACGCGCGAAGGCACCACATCCTGAACCGTATGGGCTATGGGGTTTAAGGTTCAAGAGGGTTCAGGTGTAACTCCCCTTGACCCTGAACCCTAAGCTTTCTATGGAGGTTCATGGACACTTATCTAATTATAAGTGTGCTTAGAATCTGCTTACGAGACTTCGGGCGCTTATATGTAAATTTATATTTGGGGTCACAACCCTAAACCCTAAACCCTAAACGCTAAACCCTAAACCCTAAACCCTAAACCCTAAACCCTAAACCCTAAACCCTAAACCCTAAACCCTAAACCCTAAACCCTAAACCCTAAACCCTAAACCCTAAACCCCTAAACCCCTAAACCCCTAAACCCCTAAACCCCAAACCCTAAAGCCTAAACCCTAAACCCTAAACCCTAAACCCTAAACCCTAAAACCCTAAACCCTAAACCCTACTTTGAACCTCCAAGTACACAGGTCCAGCCGCGATGCTTCGGCGCTGCAGAAGGCGTCGCTCCGCGAGGACATCGCGGCACTGGCCTGCGCCACGGCCACCACCGAGCAGGAGCCATGGGTTTCGGGGGTTTGGGGTTTAGGGTTTGGGGTTTAGGGTTTGGGGTTTAGGGTTCGGGGTTTTTTGGTTCAGGGTTTGGGGTTTAGGGTTTAGGGTATTGAGCAGGTGCCCATGGGTTTCGGGGGTTTAGGGTTTAGGGCTTAGGGTTTAGGGTTTCGGGTTTAGGCTGCAGGGTTTAGGGTTTACGGTTTCGCGTTTAGGGTTCAGGGTTTCGGGTTTCGCGTATAAGGGGTAAGGGGTAGGGGGTCTGGGTATTTAGGGGATGAAGTCAAGTTTGGGTATTCAGAGTAAGAAGTTAGGGTTTAGGGTTCGGGCACACAGGGTATGGAGTTAAGGGTTTGGGGTTCGGGCATTAAGGGTCAGGAGTTACGGGTTTAGGGTTCGGGTATGAAGGGTTTAAGGCTTAGGTGAAATACGCAGGGTACCCCTCTTTGGGGAAACCCATATGTGACACCAAAATCAGGTCTACCTAGAAAGGTCGCTGGCCAGGCAATTGGAGGGTCGGTGGATGGAGGTGATTGTGGAGGAGCTTGATGACCACGACTGGGACTGGCAGGAGTCACCCTTGGGGTCCGCCATTACCCTTGTGGATGTTCTTGACTTCGAGATGAGGTTCTGCAGTGGTTCTGCACTACGGCGTTCGTTCGCGCCTGAAAACCCAGATTCATGAGATGTAGCTGGTAGAAACTGTGGTGTGCTCTCGGGCCATCAGAGGGGGGCAGGCGGATTGTGGCTCCAGCAGGGTTTGTTAGTTGGGCATCTCGGCTTTTGAAACCCTAAACCCTAAACCCTAAACCCTAAACCCTAAACCCTCAACCCTCAACCCTAAACCCTGAACCCTAAACCCTAAACCCTAAACCCTAAACCCTAAACCCTAAACCCTAAACCCTAAACCCTAAACCCTAAACCCTAAACCCTAACGACCCGTTGTTTCCGATTCCATCCCACTCGGGAGGCTTGAGGATTCCAGGATGCTCGGTTGAAGACTCCAGGTTGTCTAGATGTCTGGGGTTTAGGGTTTAGGGTTTAGGGGTTTAGGGGTTTAGGGGTTTAGGGGTTTAGGGGTTTAGGGGTTTAGGGGTTTAGGGGTTTAGGGGTTTAGGGGTTTAGGGGTTTAGGGGTTTAGGGGTTTAGGGGGACTTCCGGGCACATCAGATATTCATGAGGTTTTTGGGGAGGCTATAGTTGTAAAGGATGACGGCGTGTTCGGAGCGTTGACACCTTGAGCCCACAAACCCCACGAACCTCATAAACCCTCTAGACCTTGTGAGACCCTATGAACCCTGCACCCTCACATTACTCATGCTCTCCCTCTCTCTCTCTCTCTGTCTCTCTTTGTCTTTGCCTTTGTCTTCGTCTTTGCCTTTGCCTTTGTTGCAGGGTGGGGGGTGCCCGAAAACCCCAACCCAAAACCCAAAAGCCCTCCCTAAACTCTGGCCCTAAACCTTAAACCCCAAACCCTGAACCCTAGCCCTAAACCTTAAACCCCAAACCCTAAACCCTAGCCCTAAACCCTAAATCCTAAACCCTAAACCCTAAACCCTAAACCTTAAACCCCAAACCCTAAACCCTAAACCCCAACCCCAAGCCCTAAAACCCTAAACCCTAAACCCTAAACCCTAAACCCTAAACCCTAAACCCTAAACCCTAAACCCTAAACCCTAAATTTAAGAGCCTCCGGCTCAAGCTGCCGACCCCGCTGGAGCATAGTTGAAAGGTTTAAACGCGCTCGTCAGCTCAAAGGATGCCAAAAGTTGATTTGCTTGAGCCTCTGTGAAACGTTGGGGGGGGGGGTAGGGGGTAGCACCAGGACCCAAACAGGAGCTGAAGCCAGCTTGAAGGAGGGCAACCCCATCAATTCAAGCCCACAACCGGAGAGGGGGATAGGGGGGGTAGGGGTGGGTGGGTTTGGAATGGGGGGGGGGGTGTAGGGGGTAAGGGGGGGGGGGGTGTAGGTTGGGGAAAGAAACGTTGGGGGTAGGGGGGCGGGGGGCAGGGGGGGGGGGGGGGGTTAGGGGGGGGGGTGGGTTTTTTTCCCAAACGACCCCTTATGTCCTGTGCGAAACCGCCTGTGGTCCGTGAGTTTATGCGGTGTGGGTGGTTTGGCCCTCCATGGAAAAGCTGCCCGGGTACCCCCCCCTACCCCCCCACCCAACCCGCCCAAAAACCCTAAACCCTACACCCCAAACCCTAAACCCTCAACCCCCAAGTCCCTAAACAAAGAGCCCCCGGAGGATGCCGAGCTTGTGGAGGAGCAGATCCTCAGCCTCTCCCAGGAGCTGGAGGCGGGGTTTAGGGTTTAGGGCTAGGGTTTAGGGCTAGGGTTTAGGGTTTAGGGTTTAGGGATTAGGGTTTAGGGTTTAGGGTTTAGGGTTTTAGGGTTTAGGATTTAGGGATTCGGGTTTAGGGTTTAGGGTTTAGGGTTCAGGGTTTTCGGGTTTAGGATTTAGGGTTTAGGGTTTAGGGTTAAGGGTTTAGGTTTTAGAGTTTAGGGTTTAGGGTTTAGGCTTAGGGTTTTCTGGTTCAGGGTTTAGGGTTTGGGGTTTAGGGTGCGGGCTTGGGGTTTGGGGATTTGGGGTTCGGGGCATAGAGTTGACCCAAGCGAGACGGGGGGCAAGGAGTCCCTGCACAACAAGTAACCCTAAACCCTAAACCCTAAACCCTAAACCCTAAACCCTAAACCCTAAACCCTAAACCCTGAGCCGCCGAGTCTTTGAGCCGCAGGCGTCTGCAGCACACATTGCCAAGCTCAAGGAAGACCTTCTGGTGCAAAGGACGGTGTGAAACCCAGCCACGCGCCTTTGTGGGTGGGAGGGGGGGGGGGGGCTTCAAAAGTTACAAGGGTTAAGCTTTCACGGGTCAGGAAACCCTAAACCCTAAACCCTACGCCCCAGCCCCTGTAGCCTGTCTCCCAAAACCGGGCTTTTTTGAGTAGGTTGTAAGTACAGTTCTAATTGGTTAATAAGTACCATGAACCTCCAAGAAGGGTCTAGGAGTCGAAGGTCCGACGCCCCGTCGAGATATAGGGGTTTAGGGTTTAGGGGTTTAGGGTTTGCATCACATCTTCCCGGGAGGAGCTCGCGCGACACCTTGTGCAGATCTGCCGGCTTCTTGATCGATGAAACGTTTAGGGTTTAGGGTTTAGGGTTTAAGGTTTAGGGTTTAGGGTGCAGTTGGAAGTTGCACCCCACCCCCCACACACACATCAGGTTGTAACTGGAGCTTCCCGACTGATGACTGCCGTTATAGTTCCCACTTGGTAGCCCAGCGCCGCTTCTGCCCTTCTATTTTGGTTCAAAGTTTCCTTATAAAGAAGGGAACACTTGTTATCCTATGGTTACTGAGCTACCAAGCCCAATCCTTTCCGTGAACCTTTAAGTAGAACCCTTCACCCCGCTTGACTCACAGGGCCGCAGTGTAGGGTTCACATCAGCCTCTAAACACCCCTAACCCCATCAGCCCCTTAAAGCCTTGCGTCCTGTAGAGCACGGGGTTAAGCCTGGGGTCAAGACTCGTACCCCGAAGTTTGTACCTCTAAAGGTTTCCCTTGATATACCCCTGATCGGGCCGGGCTTAGGGCTTAGGGCTTAGGGCTTAGGGCTTAGGGCTTAGGGTTTAGGGTTTAGGGTTTGGGGTTTAAGGTTTAGGGTTTACAATTAGGGTTGAGGGTTTAGGGTTTAGGGTCTTTAAGAAGGCTCCCAAACCCAAGGGTACCACCCTAGCCGAGCTAGAGTCCCTTGAGGGGGTTGGAGCAGAGGCGGAACACAGGGTTTAGGGTTGAGGGTTGAGGGTTTAGGGTTGAGGGTTTAGGGTTTAGGGTTGGGGGCTCTGAACGTAGGGTTTTCGACTTAGTCGTCTCTCCGATCCAGGCTACGGCTGCATCACCGAGGCTTCCGATTCCGTGCCTCGGGCTTTGGGGCCTTTTTATTTTTCTTTGAACCCTAAACCCTAAACCCTAAACCCTCAGGGTTGAGATGGTTTTTTTGCAGCCCTTTTTGCAGGTCTGCGGAGCTGTCAGGGAGGTAAACGCCAAACTGGCCGGCAGGTCCTGAATTTAGGGGTTTATGGGTTTGGAGGTTAGGGGTTGTAGGGTTTAGAGGTTGGGTTTAGAGTTTCAAGCATTTAGGGGTTTAGGGCTCTGGATTCTAAAGAGCCGAAGCCTACAACAAAGCACGGGCCCTATGGGTCCAGGCTCAGAGCCATCATGATCAGCCTAATTAAGCGTGAAGCCCCAAACCCGAAACCTAAACCCTAAACCCAACCCTACAAACCCAAGCTCGAAGGTCTGCATGTCCCTTATGGATACCTCTTGTTAAAGGGATCCATCTTCAGATTTGGGTTTAGGGTGCTGCACTATACATGGTAGCCCAGTGGTACCCTTTTCCCTTTTCTGGAGGACTGGGCAACCAAGTATATCAATGACCCAAAAAGGGAAATGCCTGGACCTTTTTGCAATAGGAATCCTTGTATATACAAGGTAATTCAGGGAACCGCCCGGGCCTTAAAGTGCTAAGCCGCATCTCCTATAAGCCTCTGAGCCCTATGCCCGGGAACCCTAACCCTATGGGTTTAGGGTAATAGCCCTAAAGGCCTTAAGGCCTTCATTTACGACCACCCATCAACTTTCTGCTCCAGAGACCCCTTCAAAGGGAAGGTTGCAGATGGTTGCCCAGTTGTAACATTGTAAACAACAACCTCTCAAACTCCATGCAACATAAGACTATGAAGGGCCAGATGTCACTCCCGACAGGACGCTCAATGCTAGGGTTCACAAGCACGTAACAGTCTAAGCCGCGGGGGGGGGGGGGGGCTGCTGCGACAAGAAAGAACGTGAGAGATGATAAAGTCATGATGTGTAGGATGGCTGAGACTATGGTTGCTGACGAGGACAGGCTGCCTGGCAAGAGCATGCTGGGATTGCGGCACTTGCTGCACTACCGCGCTACGAAAGATGCGTGCCACCCTCTGTGGAACGACGTGAGAAACAGCATTCGTCGCTGCGCACTTCACAGTCCGCACTCCTCAAAGGAGTGCTCATGACCCACGTCCATCATGGCCCTTACCAGAGCGGAGCGCATCTGCAGCTGATCGATGCCATGTCCACTGAGTGCTGCCAGGAGCTCCAAGAAAAAAATGGCTGCTGACAAGGGTGGAGGCCCTAAACCCCTAAACCCTAAACCACAAACCCCGGAAGAGCTTCGGAAGGAGCCCTAACCCCCACAATCCCCAACCAACATCCTCAACTCCCGAAGTGCCCCTAAACCCGCAATCCCGAAACCCTGAACCCTAAACCCTAAACCCGAAATCCGAAACCCTATACAATACAAACCCTATAAGCCCTGAAAACCCTGTAAAACGGGTAAACCCTGCACACCCGTAAAAACCCCATAAAGCGTGTAAACCCTACAAACCCTTAAAACCCTTTAAAGCCTTCAAACCGTCTAAAACCTTTAAGCCCATAGCCCCTACAAAGCCAATAACCCCTACACCCCCATGAACCCTAATCCTAACCACAAACCCTATAAACCCTATTAAACCCTAAACCCTAAACCCTAAACCCTGCAAGCCCAGGACGCCGCAGAGCTGCGGGAACTACAGGCGGCCTTAAGCTCCCAGCGGCCCGGCATCCTCGGTTTTTTTGTTTGGTTTTAGGGTTTAGGGTTTAGGGTTTAGGGTTTAGGGTTTAGGGTTTAGGGTTTAGGGTTTAGGGTTTAGGGTTTAGGGTTAGGGTTTAGGGTTGAGGGTTGAGGGTTGAGGGTTTAGGGTTTCATTAGGGTTGGGATGTTCCCCCTTATACGAACAGTCCTTAACAGTCCTTACTAGGGATCATCGTAGCGGGGGACTGTTCGTATAGGGGGGAACCTCCCAAGTTTAGGGTTTAGTTTTTTTTTCCAATCTTGAAGCCCTGAACCCTAACACTATTTTTCAGGGGGTGCTACTATTTAGGGATCTACATTGGGGGGTCCCCTGCTTTCGGAAACCCCCCATGTCGACAGCACGAAGCAGGTCTCTATCAGCATGAGTCTCCCAGCGCACTTCCTCCTCATAGCCGAACCCAGAGACTCCAAAGACCCCTTAATTAAGCAATATACCTTAAATTATAGTAGGAACCCTAATATGATTTAAGGTATATTCCTTAATTAAGGGGTTTTGGAGTCTCTGGGAAAGGCAGACTCCAGTGGAGGGTTTGGCGGAGGGAAGGGGAAGGGGGTCAGGTTTGCTACCAGGATTTGGCCGCGACGGGGCTCAGTATACCACCTTCAACCCTGAAACGGAGTTTGCAGTGCCTTAAACTGACTAAGCTCTTTCGGTCTTTAAACTTAGTATATATTCAACTTAGTATTTTCATATATTTATTTGTAGTAGTGCACACACACACACACATATATATATATATAACATATATACATACATACACTGGAGAGGGCCCCTCACGGTTGCCTACACCCTGCCCTAAACCCCGGCAAGTTAAATTTCGACTAAACCCCTAAACCTAAACGCTAAACTTAAACCTTCAAACAGCCCTTAGAAAACTACACCAGGGTATAACAGTCAACGGTCTGGGTAAAACCTAACCCCGAAGCGAACAAAGAAACTAAACCCCGAACCCTAAAAGCACTACCTAAACCCCAACCCCAAACCCTGAACCCTGAACCCTAAACCCTAAACCCTAAACCCTCTCGAAGCCCTATGCCCTAAAACGGTCGAGGCATCAGCAGATTGCCGAGCTCGAAGCAGAGACGATCGAGGCCCAGGACGAGGCGCGACCCTGGTTTCTGGGAATGAGGTGCCGTATACAACACCCTAAACCCTACAAGCCTTACAAGCCCTATACCCTCTAAACCTATAAACCCTACAAACACTACAGACCCTATAAACCCCATAGACCCTATAAACGCTATAAACCCTGCAAACCCTATAAACCCTGTAAACCCTATAAACCCTATAAACCCTATAAACCCTACAAACCCTATAAAACCTATAAACCCTATACTCCATAGCTCTAAACCCTAAACATCCTGCCTAATGAAGGGGATTTCTAGGGTACTGAATTCCCTCTCTCGGCCCTTGTGATGGGCTTGTTATCTCTTATCCTTATTGGGGCTTCGGAGGATCATCTTCAGCATTTTATTCGGAGGGTGTTTGCGGGCCAAGAGTAGCAGGGTCTAATTAGGGCTCAGGGTTTAGGGTTGATGGGCTTGTAGGGTTTGAGGGTTTAGGGTTCAGGGCTTAGAGTTTACGGTGTAGAGTTTAGGGTGTAAAGGGTTCGGGATGGAGGGTTTAGTTCTTGGGGGCGTGTAGGGTTCAGGGTGAAATCTAATCCGAACTGAATAAACAAAGGGCTTTGGGGTCCTGGGCCGCGAAACCCTACATCTCAACAAGTTAGGGCGGGGGTACCCAGAGACTCCAAAACCCCTTAATTAAGCAATATACCTTAAATTATAGTAGGAACCCTAATATGATTTAAGGTATATTCCTTAATTAAGGGGTTTTGGAGTCTTTGGGTAGGGTTTAAGGTTCGGTGCTTGGGGGAGGGGGAAGGGTCGTTTAGGGTTTAGGAATTAGGCTTCCAACTCAGAGTTTATAAGGCTTGCCCTAAACCCGTAAACCGTAAACCCTAAACCCTAAACCCTAAACCCTAAACCCTCTTGCACAGGAACGGCGCATGATGCAGAAGCTGCCTACGCTCCAAGCGCGGCTGCAAGAGTCCACGGCGCAGGCTGAGGCAGATCTTTGGGGCAGGTGAGGGTTTAGGGGTTTAGGGTTTAGGGTTTAGGGTTTAGGGTTTAGGGTTTTCGGTTTTCGGTTTTCGGTTTTTGAGGTATACCTAGAGTAGTTCTTGCGAATCTTTGCCGTTTTTTTCAGTACAAGGTTGCCCTGGGTAGGGCTTAGGGTTTGCAAGCTTCAGACCCTAAACCCTAAACCCTAAACCCTAAACCCTAAACCCTAAACCCTAAACCCTAAACCCTAAACCCTAAACCCTTAACCGCAACCCTCTCGCCCGTACACGGTTAAGCTTCTGCCTAAAGGGCTGACCGCAGCAACTGGGCTCACGAGGCGCATATGAGCTACCCTTGGGCCCAAGCTGTGAACCCTAAAACCCTAGACCCCAAACCCCAAACTAGCCCTAAACCCTCAACCCTAAACCCTCAACCCTAAACCCTCAACCCTAAACCCTAAACCCTAAACCCTAAACCCTCCTTGAAAGCCATGGAGCCTTAGCGTTTGGAGCCATGGCCTGGCGATCGGATGTGCAGCGAGAGCGGGAGCAGGGCCGTCCCCTGGATGCCATGAAGGCCCTGATGCTGGAGATGAGGCGCTTCAGTGAGACCCGGCTTTAGGGTTTAGGGTTTAGGGTTTAGGGTTTAGGGTTTAGGGTTTAGGGTTTAGGGTTTAGGGTTTGTTGGGAGGGCTTATAGGGGGCTCAGTATAAGGGTTTATAGGGTTTATCAGGGGCCTTCTACGGGGTTTATAGATGCTGGAGATGAGGCGCTTCAGCGAGACTCGGTCTGCAGGGTTTTAGGGCTTTAGGGTTTTCATTAAGGTTTCAATTAATTAGGGTTTTAGGGTTTTAGGTTTGTTTTTTGGTTTTAGGGTTTCAATTAATTAGGGTTTTAGGGTATTAGGGTTTTAGGGTTTTTTGTTTGGGTTTTAGGGTTTATAGGGGGGCTTACACGGCGTTTGTAGATGCTGGAGATGAGGCGCTTCAGCGAGACGCGGCTTTGGGGTTCGTAGGGGGGGAGTGTATGGGGCTTATAAGGGGCTTCTAGGGTTTCTTGTGTGTTTTGTTAATGGGGTTTGTAGGGTTTTAGGGTTTTTTGGGGGGGCTTATAGGGGGTTCATAAAGGGTTTAGGGGGTTTATAGGGGGCTTATAAGGGATGAGGCGCTTCAGCGAGACTCGGTTTTAGGATTTATAGGGACTGATGATAAGGGGCCTATAAGGGGTTTACAAGGGGCTGGTGATGAGGCGCTTCAGTACAGTGAGACTCGGTTTCGGGTTTGCAGGGGGCTTATAAGGGGCTATAAGGGGTTTATAGGGGGCTTATGAGGGTTTATAAGGTGTTCATAAGGGGTTTACAAGGGTTTTTTTTACAAGGGGGGGTTTTAGGGTGTTAGGGTCTAGGGTTTTAGGGTCAGTTCTCTAAAGTATGGTCCGTTTGAGGGTACTTTAGACTACAGAGGCCCCCCCTGCACGGTGGGGTGTTGCGTTCGGGTCTTTGCTGTTGGTTTCCTTTACTGCCAGTGCGCTTAGGCCCCCCCCCCCCCCCCCTCCTGATTATTTTGTTCTTTCATTTTCTTCTTGGGAAGCGGCACGAAGGCTCCATGTTCAGTTGTCTAAGTTATGGCCCCTTTCGGTGTCCCTGTTGCAAGACAGCCACCTATCTATCCAGGGTGCGCACCTTTGAGGGAACGGAGTTGGAGTGTGTTAACGGGGGTTCTCGGATACAAAGATCCCGGTAACCCCCATAACCCCTAAACCCTTTGTCCCATAAACGCTAAACCCTAAACCCTAAAACCCTAAACCCTTAACCCTAAACCCTAAACCCTACAGCCCACATCCGGGTTGGAAGCCAAGGAGAAGCCCTGCGTCCTCCAGCTCGGCATCGACACCAGCAAGTGCCTTGGGCTGATTCCCCCTTAAAACCTAAACCCCAAAACCCTAAAGCCTAAAGTCCTAAACCAGGGTTGCGGGTTTAGGGTTTAGGGTCTAGGGTCTAGGGTTTAGGGTTTAGGGATCAACCCCCCCCCCCCCCCCCCCCCCCCCTAAACCCGTACCTAAACCCCTGGACTTCCCTGGACCCTTTCCTTCCCCCCAGACTTTCTGATCCCTGCCAGCTTGCAGGCCTCGCGAAGACAAACCCCAAACCCTAAAGTAGACCTCAAACTCCCCTGTAGACAGCCTTCCTAGAGCGCCCCCTAAACCTAAACCCTAAACACTAAACGCCCCCAAACCCACCCTAAACCCGAAAAACTAAAAACCCTAACCCCCCCCCCCCCCCCCCCCCCCAAATCCACCCTGAAGCCTAAAAACTAAAAACCCTAAACCCTAAACCCTAAACCCCTCAAAGCCACCCAGGTTCTACACCGACCCGGCCGGATTCGGCCTTGCCCTGCGCACTGCTGGTGCGGAGGAAGCAGATGTGCCTCAGAAGAGCCCGAGGTTTAGGGTTTAGGGCTTAGGGTTTAGGGTTTAGGGTTTAGGGGTTTGGGGTTCAGGGTTTAAGGTTTGGGGTTTTGGGTTGTAGGGGCTTAGGGGGTTCGGGTCCGGGTTTTAGGGCTTGAGGGGTCTGGAGTTTTTGGGTTTCTGGTGTCCAGAGTTCATATACGGAATAGGGGGTCATAAGCATAATGGGGCTACAACCCTAGACCCTAGACCCTAAGCCTGCTGGGGCTTAGGGAAGAAAGAAGTCCGTATAGAGGCCTTGGCAGCCCAGTGGTACCCTTTTGCCCCCTTGATTAGGTTCTAGGTTCCCTTATAAAAAAGTACCCAACCCCCCACAAGTGTATAGTTGCCCTTAGTAGAATGGTTTCTGGGCTACCAAGAGGCTTATGTCATGTTGTTTTTGTCACCCTTTCCCTTATTGCCGCAGATCACGTGCGGGAGGGCAGGGAGGGTTTAGGGTTTAGGGTTTAGGGTTTAGGGCTGGTTTACCCCAAAACAGCTCCTTACTCATGAACCTGCATCTGCTCCCGAGGTTCATGAGGTAGGTGAAAGGAGCGCTATACGTACTCCCGAAAGGCTTCAACCAGTTAGGACCCACCCTGAACCCTAAACCCGAAACCCTAAACCCCAAACCCTGAACCCTGAACCCTAAACCCAAAGCCCCAGTCCCACACGTGAACCGCCGAAGTGAACTTTCCCCAAAATCGCTTTCGGCGCCCCTGCAACACTACCTTGAGGATGACCCTCTAATGGACACTAAACGCCAAGGCTTGTAGACCCTGAGTTCCAGCCCTTATAAGCTCCAAATCCCTACACTGGTTTGAAGGATTACTCCTTCAAGACGAGGCCCTCAATGCGAACCTACGAAGCCCTAAACCCTACACGCTAAACCACGAGGCCCAAACCCCCCAATCCGAAACCCCCCCAAAAAACACTACTTAGGGGGTGTCAGCGGTCTAAGGGTTACATGGTCCCTTGATCTGTTCCCTTACCTTCTTTAAGGGGTTCTGAAGTCTGGGCCCTCGGGCTTCAGAGGAAGGGACCATGTAACTACCCTAAACTCTAGACCCTAATATCCTTAAACCCTAAACCCGAAACCCTGAACCCTAAACCAACGGAGCGCTGTTTGTAACTATCCTAAGAGTTGGGTAGCTCTTAACCCTAAACCCTAAACCCTAAACCCTAAACCCTAAGGTCGCCCTTTTTGCTGCCATCCTTCTCGAGAGGGGCCTGGTCTTCCTGGCCCTGGACCAACCAGGCCTCGTTTTGGGGTTTGGGGTTTGGGGTTTGGGGTTTTGGGGTTTCGGGTTTGGGGTTTAGGGTTTAGAGTTTAGGGTTTTGGGTTTCGGGTTTGGGTTTAGGGTTTAGAGTTTAGGGTTTCGGGTTTGGGGAACCCTTATCCCTAAACCCTCCAAGACACTTTTTCTTGGGGTTTTGGGTGTAGAGTTCCCTTCCACAGCTGTTCTCCCAACCCCCTTCGTACAACCCCTACAAGCCATAAGTGCCCAAACCCCACAAAATCCTCTGAAGCCCGAACTAAGCCCTAAGCCCGCAAGCCCTACAAGCCCTGAAGCCCCTCAAAGCTCCTTTAGTTCCTAAACCCCCCCAAGGTTCCCAAATCCCTTAAACCCTCTGAAGCCCCTAAACCAAACCCTAAACCCTCAACCCCCTAGACCCTAAACCCTAAACCAACCCTAAAGCCCTAAGCCTAACTCCCCCCCCCCCCCCCCCCCGCCGCCCCCATACGCCCTTCGTGAAAACTTGGCTTTCTTCTGGCTGGCTCTTGGGACTTGAACTTTTTCGGTTTTCGTACAAGCTACAATAAGGATCCGAAAAGTAAACTTTTAGGAGACCCTAATCCCCCCAAACCCTAAACCCTAAACCCTAAACCCTAAACCCTAAACCCTAAACCCTAAACCCTAAACCCTAAACCCTAAACCCTAAACCCTAAACCCCCTCCTCCCCCCACAAGCCCTTCCTCAAAGAAGGCCGCGCCTTGCGCGACCTCCGCGCCAGCGCCGACCTCGGAGCCCAGGAGCCGGAGCTCGGCCCGGCGCTGCGCCGGGCCCGGGCCGCCATGGAGGCCCTTTGGGGATCTGACGGGGGGGAAGGGGTTTAGGGTTTAGGGTTTAGGGTTTGGGGTTTAGGGTTTAGGGTTTAGGGTTTGGCTACCTTGGTAGGGGTTAGGCTCAAGCGTTCAGGGGAGTTATGATTCAGGGGTTAAGGGCTTAGGGTTTTAGAGTTTTGGGTCCATTGCGGGTTCAGGGATTAAGCGTAGTTGTACAGGGGCATTTGGGGGGGGGATCCCATCACTACCCTGAACAAACCCCAAGGGTAAGCAGAGAAATTAGCCCTGCTTTTTGAGTCCTTCAGGTTTCTCAAAGGGTCCACACGCACCCACGGGATAGCTAAAGCCCGAAACCCCTCCCTAAGCATAGTCTCAATCTACACCCCTAAACCCTAAACCCTAAACCCTAAACCCTAAACCCTAAACCCTAAACCCTAAACCCTAAACCCTACGTAAACCCTCAACCCTACGTTTGTTCTAAGCCCTACAAAA